CTATTCTATCCATCTACTACCTATCTACCTATCGATTAATAACGAGAGAAATCTCAAATCAGACAAAAGAAATTTCGATCAAGTACAAAATTAAGATTTACGAAGTACAATATACTATTGGTGGAAATCTCAATTCTATATTTAAAGATTCTGGACCTCCTCCCCTCAGAGGAGACACATCCGCATCCGATGATGAGATGAGGCTGATAGTGTAAGAGATATTCAGGGGAGAAGGAAAAAAAGGAAAGAAAGATAACTAGGACCAAAATCAGTTGTGCCGCTAGAATCATCCAATTTTGAAAATTGTAAATGTTGATGGGTTGGATTTTCAGCGAAGGGAGAGATGGAATGGGTCGATGTGACGTAGATTGAATATCCTATCCTATCTAATCCTATCCTATTCTTTCCTATAATACGGAAATTCGAGATGACGAAGAGATGGAATACAAGGACAAGGAAAAATATCCCATAAAGTATGGGTATGTATGAAATATCAAATCACAATTTCTAAATCATGAAATGTATTGGTACGGAGTACGAAATATAATATTGCTTTGTTTTGATTTCATATTTCAACCAACCCCAATATCACCACTGACACTACCTAACACCCAGAAAAATATATCTTCAACTTATCGAACAAAGCTATGTCCTCTCTCTTTCTCCATTTTCATACATAAATTCCCTCTGTATCTCCGCCGCCCCATTTTCTTTCCCGTGGAGATACTAGAAACCGTATTTTTTCCGAATAGCTGGTACGGTAACGGTGCATTGGGCATGTAAGGTATGTAGTATGTATGGTAAACAACACATCGTAATTCACACATCTTTGATTCGATTCAATTCAATTTTTAACCGTAGATATCCATTCATCTATCAATTCATTGTCCTATTTTCATTTCCATCCAAAAAGCCACGCAAGGATGTCTCATACCGAAGAATCTAGCCCGACGCCATAGAGAATGATATCAATTATTCATTTTTACAGAGATTTGAAATCTGGACTCTGTACAGTGTACAATGTACAATGTATATATATATACATATATATATACATACATACATATATACATATATACATACATATTTCCATACATAATCTATTCGAGTTCCGGGAATCCCATTTCCAAAACCATCCAAATCCAGCCCTGTAATAATGTGACAGCTTGGTTAGGTTGGGCCCAACAACCGTTGAGAATAAAGTTTTTTCTCTGGGACCAAAAAGTTAAATGTTGGGTCCTCCGTCCCCTTCCATACCGATATACGAAGGGGTTTTGGGGATGAATAGATAAATATATCGTCATTATACCTTTCTAAACCCATCGAATTTCTACCGCCGTTTCTTCTGGTGGGGATCGAGATACTTTGGATACAAGATCTTCGTTCTTGTTATCTCTTTTGGATTTCACGCGCATGTATACGCCGCGGGTATACTGTTTTCTATGTACGAAGTATGTATGTCCCAAACTATAATCTTAACTACATTCCAGCCTAGATGGAGTGGAGCTTTGAGGAATCGATACTCCGTACATGACAGAAGCTTCTGAGCTTGATAATGCAATAGAATGGAATGATATATGTATGCACGGAATTTGAGAAGTATCAATCCGTGGTATTACCATATTGGTGATAAGTTACAACTCACCAGATGGATTTCTTTTATGAAAGCTTGATTTGGGTAATGCGAGTACGATGTTTGCGCGATGTTATTCGGTAGCCAGCATTTAGCAGCTAGTAGCCAACAAGCAAGTAACTACAATCAATATACTGCTGTTTGTATTATCTGTACATTAGGAAGATTTGCCATTCATTCGTTCGGGGAAAAGATAGCCGGTTTCTCTTTACTGTGAGGTGATGTGCTGTGTATGTAAATGCATCGTATCGTATCTCCATCCTCGTGTTTTCACCCCTTTCGATTCATGTTGTGTTTGTGTACTTCATCAATCCGTAGCACATCTCACAAATCGTGATTCAACACACGACTGACGATTTCCAAAACCTCATGTTACATCCCCCTCCTCAAACGTACATTGACCAATCCAATGTTCAGATATCAATTACAATCTAGCCCCTCTTTGGATTCTGGGATCAAAAGCATGTATTTGTATATATGTGTGTGTGTGTGTGTGTGATGGAATTAATTTATATACATGCTCCGTACACGGATAGAATGTATTTTCATGCACTCATGTTCCATTGTGATACCGTTTCCTGCAATGCGGCGACTTCATACGCATGGCATGTGAGAATTTCTGGAAATGTGTTGGCGTGCAGATGAGATGGGTACCTCCCTTCTACCGAGAATCATAGCATGATTTTACTTTGTAGATATGTTGTGTTGGAATTTGAACGCATGATTGTATGTAGGTTCACGGAGTGTGTATGGATGTATGTGTGTGTATGTACCTAGGCTGACGGACTGGCTGGCTGGAGTGTGGTGCAATCATATTGATACATACATGGAGGCTGATATGTTGAAGAAAGAGGAGAAAGGGCTTGGTAAACCGGACATGACACTGGACTTGACATTGTATATTTTGTTGGATTTGTGATGTGAATGATCGAGTTGAAATCATTTATTCAAAGTCACATAAGTTATCACGACAATTAAATAGATTTCCTCTACCGATTATTTCCTTATGAGTCTGCCTACTAGGCAGAGATGAAAAAATGCCTTATCTATTATTATTCCATACAGAGCAAACTAACTGACCTCCGAGCCTCCCTCTGTGTGAATCCCCAAACCCTAAGGAAAAACCACTGACGAATAGAATCATGCGTATCGTAAAATACGAAGGCTCTCATCTCATTCGTTCACTTCATTCACACCAAAATCACCCATCAAACCACATCTAGGTTAATAAATGCAGGGTAAAAAAAGCCAAGACCATTCCAAAATATTACCGGAGTCTCCATCTGAATTTCTTGGGAAAAATACCAATGCCATGGCAAGGCACCAAAAACCAAAAAACCAAAAAACCAATGTGAGTACCGGATGATTATGACAAAGAAAATGATGACTGTTTTTTTGATTTTTGGGTATCAAATCATAATGGATAATTTTGATTTATCTTTTAGACAGTGCCACATTGGTAATATAATGTTTACTTTTGGGTATGTGACATCCCTTCACCACCCGATTATGGATCGGATTGAGTGGGGTTTTAGGGTCGATCAAATCAGCGCTCGTTCCATAATCCATTTGATGATTATTATTCAGGGATTTCTAGGAGAAGGAGAGGGTCTTTGAGAGGGTCTTTGAGAGGGTCTTGCTTTTTACCGTTTATTGGGTTGAAACTTATAGAATGGGATGGGATGGCGGGATGAACGGGATGGTCTTGCCGTATGCAAAGTCGTGAACTGGTAAATTCTTAAATCCTTGATGGGAAGAGATCGATCCCTAGAAATGATTTTCGTAAAATTGAGGGGATTTCCTTTTTTTATACTTTGAGTGATGTCAGTTTGTGATAAATATATATATTTTTCTTTTCTTTGATATGAAGGTTTGGGTTTCATGATATTGTGATTGTCTGATCTCATGAAGATGTAATGTATGGAGTATGTGAATGAGGAGGTAATGAAAGAAGAAATTATTTGAAACGAAGTCTATTCTTGTCGTCGATGGTCGACGCGAATCATCACACATTTTCCCTTTACTCCACACCAACCATTGACCGGGATATTTTCAATTCATGGGTCAGTAGGTGTAGAATTGTTTAACTAAATTCCGAATAGTATCATTCTACCGATTTATCCTTGACTTACCTACTTGATGGTCCGCGCGGTCGATAGGTAGATATAACGGGTATCAAAAAAAGTTACCGTACCACCCTACCTTTCATATATGCATTGAGTAATGGTGCTCCGATGTTAAGACTTGCCGAACGGGTTGATGATATTGATAATTGGTGATTCGATTGTTGAAGATACGACACAAGAAGAATAATTCGATGGTTTTGAGAGGGGGAGGGGAATTGTTGTCTTACGATTTTCGCGATCAATGAAGAGGGAATAACCGAATGAGTGGTTTTTGATTATTATACCGATAACTATTTACTACTTACTATATACTTGGTCAATTGATTAGATATTAAAAAAATCGAAAGATACAACTATTAACAAACAAAGGATATTGTACCCAATCATTGTAGCTATGTAAAGATTTTCATGGTTCTCGAGTCTCGATCGAGTTTGATCCATAACAAAATATCATTCATTGATCAAAATACCTAGGGTAATATCCACCTATCACCGAACTCGACTCTTTAGATAGTAGATATCATCTATCATTATCATATGAAATCTACTCCTACCGAGGTATCTAACGGGATTAAAGATTGTGATGAATATATCTTTTTATCAATTCTCTTTACTTTTGTGATGGATATTTGACTTTATGACTTCATGACTTCATTCGGTATCATTACCGTTGTAGATTTGATCCTCAATTTGAGGAATGGAGGGAATCGGGAAATCAAAGGAATTCTCGACTCCGTAGAAATTCAAGTACTTCTATACTATTTACTACCAGTACCTAACAAACTATTAAAAAATTAAGTCCGAAAATCTACGAGTAGTTAACAAAAATACCCCAGTATTTTGACCCATAAAGCAACACGGACATATACTAAAATTGTACATTTTAACCACACTCATTCATCTAGAGGTTCCAATAGTAAGGTTACTCCTTTAGTCATTTCTCTAGTCATCCTTCAAAATCCATCTTACATGGTGAGTGGTTGGGTGAAAAGGAGGAGGTAATTCAAGTTGACATTGGACAATAGGGATAGATCAAAGTCTTCCAACCCTACGAACAGTAAAAAATATACCCTAGTATAAAGTAACATATTTGGAGGTTATTCCTCTAATAAGTTTAATCGTACATAGCTACTATACGGACATAAACCTTTTTTGGCCTGGAACCTAGAACCTAGAACCCTTGAATGATTGAAGTCAACCTTCAAATCAATCATACCCCCCTCTTCTCAAACAGAAAGAACCCTTTTTTTTTGTCAAGGAAAATCCAAATCGATTAACTGGATCGAATGATATTTCTTACTTTACACCTCATTGTTGCATATCAACAAAAGACTTCAAACCAAACCTAAAGTAATTATAAGTACATTATCAACTCTTTCCCCCGAAACTCAAAATACTTCTCCTCCTTTCGAATCTTCGATACGTGTCAGAATTACAATCTCATGAGAAGTGGAGTTTAAGAGTGGTTATTTGTATAACTTTTGTTATAAATCATTCGAATCCAAATTCAAATTCGAGACCACCATCACCCGAATTGAAATACGAGTACTCACAAGAACTTAGACTGCCTACTTTGACAATCACAGTCACATTCACATTCACATTCTTGAAATCAACCTCGCCATCGTTTTGATTTCAACTTTTTTGACAATATTCTTATTCAACATCTCAACTCATCTCGCCTTGTTGCATCTCATCGTACTCATCTCATCACATCACATCACACACATCTCATCGCATATAATCTCATTACTTTTAATATTCAATCTACTCATCATCATCTTGTTTACCATCCCATCCATTTGGAACCATTGCCCTCATACTCGGGTACATTTTATGCATTTAACAATATCCACGGTATCCAAACAAAAGTCAAGCAATTCCACCATTCTCCACCAACGACAAGCCATCAAAAAAATACCAAGCATTTTGATTATTCGGGAACTATCAAGCCCCCACATTATTTTACTTTTTGGTTCTCTCTTGTCCCGTCTATCTGGCACGCTGCCTCGCTGGCTCGCTAATTTCCAATCATCCCATTCATCTCCCTTTTCTCTCCTCTTTTTCTTCAACCGATATCTACCTACATACAGCTGAAATTCGATAAAGAGGTCATCTCGATAACATATATAGACTTGAGAGTCAAGATACACATACACAACATTACTACTACTAACATCACCTCGAACACTTATTACGAGTCTTATTACAATTCTTACTACGATTCTTACTACTTGCAACATATTACCACCAACTATCTAATACATCTTTTTGTCATACAATTATTCAAGACAATTGATTACCACACCCATCATTCGACACAACCTTTCGGTTCCTTTTACATAATAATTTTGGCAAGACACAACATATAATTATCGTCCAATTTTTTGGGTCTCCAATATTTTCCCTGTATACCGGTACATTGGTTCCGAAACGCACGAGGTGGACGATCGATTGAAGTTTAATCGTAGTGACACTTCGCACCCAAGAAACAAAAGGGGATTTATTTTTATTCTACAAGGAGATTAATACGCCACTTTTTGTTAGGAGAGGAAGGAAATTCTTGGGGGAAGAAAAGTATAACAAATTGATGGAATCTCGAATTTAGTTTTCAAGGGTTTCGAGTTTTACTTTGAGTGTTGGGTTTCTGGGGTCTTGGGGATTTTCTTCATCGATATATGTTCCTCATATTGGTTCATCATTTTTATCAGTTCGATACATTGACGAATTAATTTCCAAAAATTCAACAATCAATTTCGACGGATCGACATACATTACGGACTACCGACCACGGATTACGGATTACGGAATATATCTTTAAAAATAGGACCCCGCAACAATGAGTTCTTCAGCGCAAGGAGCACCGAGAGCACCGGCAGTATCTACAATTCCTACAACATCAAATGATGATAAAAAGAAAGGATTAAGTCGAGTTTTGGGACGAATGAAGACGGTTTTAAAAAGAAGTGATGGATCAAAAAGATTGTCTTTTGTTGAAAAGTCTTCAACTTCAATTACAACAGGAGGACCGAGGTAAGCAATGAATATTTCAATACATTATTTTTATTGTGATGTTTTACTATGTCTACGTAAGGTTTTAGATTCGGAATTTGAGGATTGAGAATTTGGATTGAGGATTGAAGATTGAAGATTGAAGTTCATATTTAATAATAACTTGTCAATTTCTTAGTGTCCCTAAATCCACTGATCAAACATCAAAATCAAAGCCAACACCAACACCAGCGCCAGAACCATCAAAGGAAATACCCGTCTCCATTCCCGCTGTCGTCGAAACGAAACAAACTACCAATACCACTACCAAAACTACTACTCCTAGCACAACAAAACAACAACAATCTAAAACTAAATCTCAACCTCAACCTCAACCAACAAAAATATCTCGAGCAGAAATTAATGCTGAAAGAGCTAGAAAATTAGCTGAACGTTTTCAATTGCAAATCGAACCTCATGAATGGCAAACTCTTACTGGAGAAAAAGATGTTTGGAGAATCGAAAAACCTATTCGAATGAGAATTCATAGAACTTGTCATAAATGTGATACAACATATGGTGCCAATAAAATTTGTACCAATTGCGATCATCCAAGATGTACAAAATGTCCTAGATATCCTTTAAAGAAGAAAGATAAGGGAAAAGCAGCAATTGCGAATATAGGACCAACAAAAGTGGAAGTTGATAAAGAATGGAAAAAAGCCGAGAAATTAATCATGACTTTACCGAGTCATAAAGTGGGTGGTCAACCTTTGGTTCGGAAAAAACCTACTCAAAGAGTTAGAAGAACTTGTCATGAATGTTCGACTCTTTTTACGGCGGGAAATAAAATTTGTATAACTTGTTCTCATACTCGTTGTGCTGATTGTCCTCGAAATCCGTACGTTCTTTTTTTTATTTTACTTTTTTTCTTTCTTTTCCCCCCCCCTTTTCCTTTTGTTTCTCTATTTCAAATAGTCGAGTTAAATAGTCTGCCTCCACGGCAGTGGCCCCCGGAGGGCCAGCGGAGCGTCATTTCATTCCAATTCAATTCAATTCAGTTCAATTGATTGATTGATTGATTGATTGATTGATTGATTGATTGATTGATTGATTGATTGATTGAATTATTTCCCCTTCATCTTCCCTTCCCCCCCTTGAAATTCACAAACTTACCTCACCAGACCCAAGAAAAAGAAATATCCCGATGGCTACCCTGGCGATCAACCATCCTCCATACACAAAAAATTCGCATGTCATAAATGTGATAAAACATTCCCTCATCATTCCTCCTCGGATTCAAAAACTAGTACACAAGAATGTACAAGGTGTAAACATATTAGATGTGATATGTGTATGATAGCTGTTCCGCGGAAAGTGGTACCGGAGCCGGATCCGGAAGTAATGAGGAGAGTGGAGGAGAAATTGAGGGGGTTGAGTATTAGAAGACCGACGACGGTGGATGTGGTTGTTTGAGATGGTGGTGGGGTAGGAATGTGAAGAAGTTGATCAAAAGGGGCAAATGGAAAGGAGGAAAGATAAAGAGAAGGATGCATGGACGGATACTCGAGCAGAAAAATATACATTGGAACTTCTCACATTTTTTCACAGCATCTACATTTTTGCATTTTTGGAGGGGTTCGGCATTTCTTTGCATAGCATAGGAAAGATGAAATGAAGAACGAGAGCGAGAGTTGATGAGGGAAGATATCGGGAAATCATTCGTTTCGAAAGAATTACCAAAAAATACGAGGCGATGAAAGTAGCGAGCGTGGATTGTGTATGGATGTGGATGGATATATGCATGCGCATTAACATTTTTGAGTTTGAGTTTGAATTTATTTTTGCTTTTTTGTGGCATTAAATTGCGTTTGTCTGGGAGGATTGATTGATACCTTTTTGTGTTTTTTGAAATTGCTGGGTTGTGTGGAGAGGGTGTGGGTGTGAGGTGTATCGAGAAGAAAAGGGGCACAGTGCGAGAAGGAAAGGAGATGGAGGAAGAGGATAAGAGGGACAAGATAAGAGAGAGGTGGAATGGAGAAGATGTTCGAATGCACACATATATATACGGCCGATACAATATGACATTATATATTTGTCTACCTAGGTATCTATTGGTGGGACTTTGTGATTGTTTGAATGGTGGAAGTTTGGGGTGGGATAGTGGGGTAGCGATATGGATACATAAATAGAAATGTATGGAGGTGGAAGTAAGAAGTTGGTTTCTCGACTGTTGTCTTTGATTGATTTGTGGAGGTAAGTGGGTAGTGAGCGTCTGAGGTTTTGATTGTGATTTTTGGGATTATAAGTATGCGCGTTTCTGTGGGCTTTGGTGCAGTGTGGGAGGGGATGAAATGAGATGGGGCTGTTTGTACGAATGTTCAGTTGGGGGTTGGGAGATGAAATGGGATGGATTTGGATGAGATGAGGGGAGATGAGGGAAGAGGAGAAGAGATAAGATGAGATGAAAGGACAGCAGGTAGTGGAGCCAAAGTGGAAGGTGGAAAATGATAGATTCTTAGGTTTTGAATCGGATTAACAATATGTGAAGGGGGACTGTGATAATTTGCATGTATTTATTTATTTATTTATTTACTTGTTGACTTATTTGGGGAATGGGGAACGGGGAGATGGAAAATAAGGGAGGGTGAATTGAGTAGAAGACACTCGGCGGGAAATCGAGGAAAGTGGTGGGGCGGGGGGAAATTTAGTAGGGTTTGAGTAGGTAGGTGGTAAATATATGAAATGTTGAGATTTACGGTTCAATGGATAGAAAGGATTGGAAAGATGTGACTGGGTAAAAGAGGAATATGATAATTTGATATGACGGGAGAAAAAGAAATGGTAAAGTTGGATATAAGAAGCGGATTGAGATTAAATTTGTAACGTAGAGGTTCATTTTATTTGAGTTTGGATTGATGATGATAGAGAGAGTGAGGGAAGAAGCGTGTGTGTGTGTGGTGTCAGGAGCGATATAATAAAGTAGGATGAACGAGGGGACGTTGATATTTTAAAGTATGATACTAAAAACGCTAATCCTCATTAGTCATCATAGGGCTGAAGAGGCTCATAATTGTTGAGGTCAGTGGTTGGAGCATTTTAAGCTTGTTTCATCCTTGACGTGTGAACCAAGATTCCTAGAAATATTCGAAATGATATCGTTGGTTCTCGAGACACGAAAATCGTAGTAATGGTATGTTTTCGAGCATGCTGTACATATTTAGTTATGAATTAGGTATGGAGAATTATCATGATCCTAGAAGTAACCTTATATTATACATATATGATAAGATCAATCTCAAATCTCAAGAGATCCAGGAATTGATAATTACATGAAATAGAAAGACTACGAATTATCCCAAAGCAGTTTTTCTATTCCGCTAGATTAGGGTAGTGGGTTAGGAGCTTAAGATATTTACAAATACTCAGTTAACTTATCAATTAGGATGATCATTTACTTTGAACCACGAAATCCCAACTCAAACTCATTCACTTTCCGAACATTTTCCATCCTCCTAGTTTCTGTATTGAGATCTTTCCAACACCTGTATTGGCTAAAACATTGGCTTTGACAACACTAGCTGAAGTGGGAGTAACCAAATACTAACACCAGATGATTAGTAAATTGACATCTCAAAAAACACTGAGATCATTCAAATAGAATCAAATCGAATGAGTAGAGCAGGATAATAAATATACTCACAGATGCAACATATTGTTGAAACTTAGATAAAGCCGCTACAACCTTAAGACTAGGCCAAGTACCCGAGTTTGGGATGGTGTTTACAGGACAATTACAGCCCAAATAAGATGAACAAGCAGTTGAAGATGCAGAGTCTGGAAAATTGTAGGTATTACCAGCTGTGCCATCAAAATGTAAAGTAACACCCTCGAGTACGTTGCCTTCAATGAGTGAAGTAGTTCCATCATAAGTTTCGAAATCGTGTCCAGCATTATTGGCCATGTAGTTATTGGTAACTTGTACTACAGCACCGGAACCACTAATCTTTGGTGCACGACCTGATAAATTGTGCCAGTAGTTTTTGTCGAGTGTGAGATCCAAATGTTATTTTCTTGATAGGACCAAATGAATCTTATGGCGACGGAGAAGTGGATAAACTTTGTAAGAAATAATGGGGATGGTAACGATAACAGCAAGAGCCCGATATCATTTTCACCATACTATCAACTTCCAAGTTGTGGCGGCTTTAATTTTCAGAATCCCCAACCCCATCAGTAAACATTGTAAAACCATAAATCTTCTCAAATTTAAAGGCAACTTTATTATTAGATACATACCAGCTATCCCATTTACGCCCGTTACATATTCGGGGTATCTTATGCTTTCCTATAATACATATTCACATATCCATATGTCATAAAAACTCCTTCTAGTAATTCATCCACAAGATAACTAGTAAAACTGCAACTCCAATTCTCCCACCTCAATTATATTCATTACCAGTTCCAACACCATCTAAATCCATGAATTGATCAATATCTGGTATGACAACACTTGGTTGTGGAATTGTTGATTCAGGAAAAATATTATCAGCTGGAGGTCCATCTAAACCTCTACCAACTTGATAATTATCTGGAACTGATTTTCCTAATGTCGTTCTCCTATTCTTTTGTCTCTTTCCAGTACCCCCAATTGTATCACCTCTTCCATTCATCCATAAACTAGCATCACTAGTTTCACCTCTTCCAATACCGAGTTGATAAGCTTCCATGCCTCTTAAAACTGGTAATAAAAGTCGAGTTTCATACCAACGACCTTTAATATCAGCTAATCCACGACGAGCTGCTGGTTCAAGTAATTGCCATTCATACCAAGTACGTTTCTTAGCATTATCTGCTACTTCATTTCGAAATCTTAAATCAGAAACCATTCGAGCAGGCAAATCTGGTGTTGGCCATTGTGATCGATTACTATATGGCATTGGCATTTCGACAAATTTGTAAATATCCCCCACAAATGTTACAACAGTCAAAAGTGGATTTGATTGTAATGTACGTTCAATGAGTTTTTGAACGACAAGTACCACAATTGAATCCCCTTCAACACGTAAACGAACTGGTTCACCAACCCAAATCTTTTCGGCTCCAAGAAACATTCCATTATAATGAATTTCTCCAGGTGATACGATAGCTTTTTCAAGTCTATCAAAAAGAGAATAACTTCCATCAATAACTTTTGCTGCCAGGATACTACCATCAACTTGATAATCACCTCCACCATATTCACCTCGAACAATTTGATCCCAAGGTACTTCATCATATGGAATATTATTGATTGAACTGATTGTAGTTTGAGGTACACTCCATGCAAGCCAAGGTCTGATTGATTCTTGATCTTTGATTTGAGCTGGTGAATGTGAAAGTGGATGAGAAAGTGGTTGAACCAAATATTCCGCTTGAAAATGTTCATATCTTCTTTTGGTTACCACTGCGAGACCCCAAGCATGTCCTCTATTAAACCAAACTAGTTCTCCTGTACGATAAATGAATCCAGTATCAGGTGTACTATCGAGCTTTTGTTCTTGTGATCGAATTATTGAAGTTGGTTGAGGTGATGACTTTGATGATCCAGAAGTTGTCAATCCAGAAGCTGCAGATCCGGAAGCTGTAGATCCGGAAGTAGAAACGGCCTTTTGAGGTATACTAACAATCGGCATACTATCCTTTTTGATTTCCTTCTTTGGAGGAGGTATGCTGACGACTGGAGTAGTCACCTTATTTATTTCCTTCAATATTGCGCCGTTGCCTTGTTTAATTATTTCTTCTTGTGGATCGTCCTCTCCGAATGGCGAACAAACTTTGCATGAACAATTCCTTGGGTCGCCATCTGGATCCGTACTTAACCAAAGTACGTGAGGGAAAAAATCTGCCGGACTTCGATATCTTTTCTTTCGACCTTGTGGATGTCCATATAAATATGTATCTTGTCGTTCATAAACTCCGGCCGTGTGTCTGCCTTTTTCCTTCTTCATCTCTGCTTCCAATTTATTCTTATTATATTTGAGGTGTTCCCATAAAACATATCCTTCGGGTAGATCTTTAAGTACGTAATTCCTATCTGCGATGAAGTTAGTAAATGATGATGGACTTTGAAGTGATATTATATTACCTGAATGTTCTTTTCCTCCTAAATAATGCATCAACATACCCCCAATCTTTCTTCTCCAATCAATAGCTTTTGGTTCATCATAATCGAGTTTCTTGTAAAAATCAACAATTCCATCCGAATCTTCTTTGTCATTTAATTGATCTGGTGTTGGTTGATTTAATTCTTTGATACCTGTCTTTGTAATGACTTCTAATTGACCATCTGATCTACAAATAGTAATAGGATGGAATGGTGCCATGATGGTAATTGTATATGGTAGAAACAATTATTTATTGATGGAATTCAAAAGGTATGATAATAAAGTTGTGGGTTGAGCTAGGTTCTAGTTTGAGTGAATGTTGCTTTTGGGTTTACTCCTGTAATCGGCCGGATTAACTTGAATCCGATTACCGAGAAATAGGTATTGGAACAGAACGGACTCAGAAACGAAGTAGCTATAGTACCCTCAACGCCTAGTAATCATATGAAGAGAAATAGTGAAAGTAAATATAATAGGAGTGGAAGAAAAAAGAAATGTAGAAGAGATATCTGATCAAAGATGATAGCTACCATTTTATTGATATTGAATTATAGTAGTAGTAAATACAAAATATACCCAAGATACTTTGAACATCCCTATGGTGGCAGAATCAGTGCTCGACGAAGTGAACTCTTTGTCATTACAATAAATTCTTCAATCCTTTAATTATATATTGAATAAATCGTTTTTAAAGTATTAATGTGATTGATCTAAATCTTTGTAGTTTACGAAGCTTATTTTAATCAATAGGGTCTTAGTGAATTTCTTGAATTTCGAAAGCTAATTCTAACTTTTAGTCTAAGGCTATCATTTTTATATAAAAAGGTCTATTTGTATTAAAATCAGATTATTTATCTAATACATTCTGTATTGTGTGGGTGGTATAGTGGTAAAGCTTCTGATTGAAGAATAAATCGAAGGTGAAGTGACAGGTAAATGATGCAATTGATGAACAGACCCCCCTTTAGACTTTCGACTAATGCTTTTCATTCATTCTAGCCCTTACGCTCGCTCCCCTCCTCCACCTCTACAACCTCCTCCTAGCCTCTACACACACACTCTTCCATCCACCTTTCCCACAATTCTAATATTCAAAGATCTTAGAATCTTGAAGGCCTTTGAGGGCCCTTATTTTCTATTTTTCTATTAAAATTCAATAATAAATGGATTGCATTTTGTGCCGATAATATTCGTTATTAACAAAATCAGTATTTTGTTAATAATGAAAGAGAGATTAATATCGTTATGTATATAATAAAAATTTGTATAAGGATTTATACTGAATTTCTTTTCATCTGTAATATTAACTTTGTCACCACAGGGCATGCTATGCGCCTATGTATGTCTAATTGAATAAAGTAGATATGAAAAATGACAACCCCTCCAAATTATCTTCCATTGTTATCTCCTTTTTCATTCATCAACCTCTCATCTTCGAATCAACCTCATTCCCCTTTTTCCTTTTCCAAAAAGCAATTACTCCATCACCTCCTCAACCTCCATCATAAACGCCATCACGCCGCACCCTCCACTCGTCTCCCCACTGTTTACCACAAACATATCACCCTCATACCCCTCACAGCCCTCCTCCCAAACATTCCCGGGGACCAAAAATCCCAAAACCCAGTACTTCTACCCCAAGACTGGAACTTACAAATGAAATCTCATCACTTAAATGAGATCTTGATATTCTGTAACCGACCGGTCGGTGTATGGATAAACATGCGATGCGAATGTATAGAATATAAATATAAGTATGGGTGGTAAATGGATAAAATAGAAAAAGACTTGAGTGGAATGAGAGAAATTAAGGAGAGATATGAATAATAGGTGGGATATCGTGGGTAGTAAGAGTAAGGCGTAACTGACTATGCATAGCGGGGTAGGTATGGCGGGGTAGGTGTCGTGGGGCAGTGATACATAGTTGTAATTTTTATTGTATTGACCAGGCGAATTAAAGTGCGGAAACTCAAGGTGATGGGAACCGAGAAAGTATTTGTATCTATTCCTTACACCATGATTTTGATATTATCTTTCTATTCAACTATTTAATCATCTGAATCACTAGCTTCAACCAAATCCAAAAGTTCCAACATAGGATCCATCATACTCATGTACTCATCCGTCGTTTCCTTGAATTTCTCCTTACTATCCGTCAAATTTCCTTCAAAACTTTCAATTCCTTCATCATTTCACTCATCTCTTCCAAGTGTTCATCTTGTTCTTCAGCTGAATTACAAATGCTTCTCAACAGACTAGTTTCCTCTCATAATTTCATCGTCTCCTTTCGAATACTTGGTTTAAACCAACTTGATTTCAATAAATCTTCTTTAGCTAAAGACCAATTTTGCTCTTCATGCTTATAAGAATTCGCAACACTTACACCAGCAACGAAATGAGAAAATCCTCCACCATGTGTTGAATAAGCTTGAGCATGTCTTGAACATAAAATTTCTCCAAATGTTCCATGGCTTGGTTCAATACAATCAAAAATAATATATTGATGATTCTTGTAAATACCACCTTCCGTTGCAAAGATAGCTTCAATCAAATTCATAATATAATTAGAACTAACATGCTTTCTATGTTGATCTAAAGGTTGAAGACTTGATGCAAATCCGACTTCGGAAATTAAACGAGTTAATGGTTTATCCCATCGATTTTTGAGTTTATCAAACTCAATTCTTCCACGAACAAGTGAAGCCCACTCATTCATAACTTTATATTGAGTATCACCCTTGACATATCTTCTCTTTCCATCTGGTTCAGCCTTGTGATTACCAATAACTTCATCAATCTTTTTGGAAATTTGATATGATGCATGATCATTAGGTTTACCAAATCCCCTAATATATATGTTAGCTATGTTTAAAACATGTTCCAATTGTGAGGGTGAAGGGGATACTCCAACTGCGTTGACCAAGTAATGAATATGAATAAAAATCCTCTTTTCCCTCTTATTGCCTTCCATCATAGATATCATATGTGCTCTCATGGATGTCATCAAGGGATCCGAGTAAGCTTTTGGTAAATCTCCTTGTACAAGATGTTTCAACACATCAGGATGAATACATGCCGACATGAAAAGTAGTTCGAGTTTCATTACCTCAATATTACCATCTACCTTTCATTTATTAACCCATTTATCACAAGGTAAACCTTTTAGATCCAAAGCAGCATCTACCAATTCTCTTAAACCTTTTGAATGTGCTTCAATAAGTCGTTTGGAATAAGCATCAAGTATCATTCTAGGGTTGTCGGCATACTCTCCACCGTTGGTATCAACCATTGGTAAATTCCTACCTGGTCTTAATTCGGCTATAGCTTGTTTTGTCATGGCTTCAAGTTCTTCTCCAAATTTTTCCAGTATGGAATTGATTATAGCTTCGAATGCTACCTGGTCGAAATTGTTGATCATCTCTTTAAATGCATCGTCGAATTCAGAATAGTAAAGATAGTACCGAGATTCCCTCAATTGTTCTGCCGGTTGATTTTCCGTGTCGATATCCATAGGATCGGACAAGTTCGAATGGTTGGATCGGGAGGGAGAGACTCTTACTTGTGAATGCTCCGCAGATTGATCGATTACCGGTAAAGATCTTGATTGATTCGAGGATGAAATTGGACTCTTCGCAGATTGTCCAAGGGAAGAGGGGTAGGATGTTGGTATCCTTCTCGCAGGTTGTCTAGATGTAGATGGAGATTCAAGATGATCAGTTTCCGAAGTGGAATCTCTCGCTGATTGATCGATTGATTCTGAAGATTCTGAGACTAATCGTCTTGTAAATCTAGAAGGGATAGAATGACCACTAGATAACCCTACATTACCTTGTTGGGTTGCAGCCAATCTTCTTGAAGATGTGAAAGATGCTGGGAATAATGGTGGAGGCAGTAAAGTATATGCATTATCTTGATTTGGACGAGAAGTATTAGCCAGTAGAGGATTACTTACAATTGAATCATCATCACCTGAAAAAGGAGAATTCCCACTTCTTGGTGCCGGTAAAAATGATGTAGGCATTGGAGTATACCTATTTCTTGACCTTGGGTGAGTGTCACCAGTAATTGGAGACTTACTCATACTTAAATAATTCCCACCTGAAATGGAAGATTTCCCGCTTCTCGATTTCTTCTCAATCGATCTTGGCTTACTAGGTGTATCATCAAACCTTCTCTTGGAGTTGATACTGATCTCTCATCTTTCCCATTCCAAATATGTCCCAATTCACCATACCTCTTATCCCAATTCATACCATACCAGGCTTCCCATTTCTCAACCATCCCTCCATACTTATTCTTCACTTCTTCTTCTTCAATGTGGTAGATTTCATTCTTACCTTTAATTTCTTCCTAAAATTGGACTTCATACGGAAGTGATCCATCTTCTCTATTCCATTTATCATGAATCTTCCAAATTTGGTAGATTGGGTTACCAAAATCATCAACTGATGCTTGCTTGGGACCTTTTGGGTCAAAAATCATAAGATAACTCATGATATAGAATTGGTTATTCGGGCGTATTAGGCGACCGACTTTTTGCTCAAAAGAGAGCGGGGGAGAAGTTGGAAGAAAGGCTTTTGATAAGTTCTTTTATAGTCAAACTACAAGACTTTCGTCGAGTAGCAAGCAACTGTAAAAAGAGGTCTTATCAAAAGGTAAAATGAATGTGAATATCAATCATTTATTAAATCTTGAGTTGTAAATGTAAACTTTGTTATATCAAATGTCAGAGAGAAACTTGAGAGGAGAGAATGGGATGAGATTGATTAAAGTTATTTGAGAATTTACGGAAGATATTTAATCCATATTCCGATCACGTTATGAAGTCGTTATCCACCTCTCAAGGTTGTTACCGCAATATAACTTGCTATCTACCTAATACCTAGTGAAAGTAAATCACACCAAGTACTATCCAGAAAAACCTCGGCCGAAACCAAAATTTAAGCGATGATAGAAATAATTACACTGGAGGGCTGATCATCCACCTGGAAAAGGCATTTGCCAAGGCTACTAGACATTACATCTTTCAGATGCTTACCGTTGAATAAACCCTTCTCATCTTCTTGTATTTCCCGCACTTAGCTAACCCCTCCCTCCATCCTTTATTTCACCCATCTCACAACCTCCTATCTTCTCAAACCCACTCTATTGTTCCCGTACAACCTACAAACCAGAAATATCTCTCCACCTATTCATTAATCGGTAGTGACGCTCCGCTGGCCCTCCAGGGGCCACTGCCGTGGTGGCAGAGTAAGGGGTTTTGAGGTGGAGACATTGAGATATACACCGATCAAGAAAATCTTCCTTCAAATTTCACATTTCCACCAAAATCATAATCATAATTCATAAATCCATTATCATTACTCATTTAATATCCCAAACTACCATGTCTAGGTCTAACACAGCACCTATACACATTCTACTTTTTCATAAAAGTCGTTCTCCAACATCCGACCCTCTAGCGATCAAATTATCACCATAAACTTTTCTTGACATCTCAATCCCTCCTATCCCATTATAGTTCCCAATTCCGAGACGCCAATCACCTCTTTATCTTCCTATTACCTCCTCATCAATACATTCATTCCTACTTCCGAGATTCCTCCCTCGTCCCAACTTTTCTTCCGCAATTCCCCCGCTTTAACCTCTCCATTCCCATCCGCTAAACTTCCCCACCCCACCCCACAAATTACCTCATCGCACATCTCGGATAATAATACTCATGTTCATATGCTTTTAATAACCCCACCAAATGCATTATTGATGCTGCCACCACTAAAATATGAAAAATTTGATGTGAATGACCTATTATATCGAATTTACCGGGGAAGTAACATTCTGGTATACGTAACTTTTTGATATTAGTTATTTCAATTCACATCAACGTATTTACTCGAGAATTCCAGACTTTTCCCCAGGCCCATCCAGAGACTTCATCTTTACTTCAAAGTATAGAGAGACCGGGACCAAGACAAATTCAAAAAATAAAGAAAGATAAAAAAAACTCACACTATAAACCATCGCCCCCAGAACAAGAAACCCTCCTTCTCCAAGATACCAAGGCATACCGGATCCAACAACAACTTGATTCCAACCAAAATAAACAATGGCGTGAATAATAGGTGCGAAAGCCGAACATCCTGTTCCTATAAAAATACATACACGAAAGGTACGCCAACGAAGACCTTGAAAATGTGGATGTAGTAGAAGAATGAGGGTTATGGAAGTGAGAGTTATTATCTAGAAGGGTGTGAGTATTTTTGTGATTTTTGTGAATGTTGTGTGGAGGCTTGGGGAGGTGTTGGGGAGAAATGAAGGGGGTAGGGAAGAAGAAGAAGGGGAAGGGGAAGAAGAAGAAGAAGAAGGGAAAGGGGAAGATGGGTTAGGGGGTTAGGGGAGGTAGGGGAGAGAAGGAGAGAGAGGAGAAGGGATGGTGTACGGTAAAAGAAGAAGATGTTAATGATGATAATAATAATAAAAACAAAGAACAGAAAAAAACCCACCATAACCCAATATCCAACCTGTAACTTCCACTCACAATAAAAAGCCACATAAATCCCCGTCACAAAATCCCCCAACGTCGCAACCACGATCCCCAAAAAATCCAACTTTAACCAAATCTCCGCCACCCCTTTCGAATGATTCATCAAAGTATGATAAGCCATACTAAACCCCATACAAATCATTGTGGTCAGAAAAAAATAGAAAAATAAATCGATCCACCAATGGACTTTCAGGAAAATATATTGAAAAGATGTAGAAAATGAGTCCGGTGAGGAGGAAACATATTAAAAAAGGAATAGAGTGAGTATGAATATTTAAAGTTTCGTTATGGAGTGTGAAGAAGGTTTTGAGAGAATCTCGAAGTGAGTGAGTGATGGGTCGATAGGAGGTAAAGATTGAAGGATTATCTTGATGCCATGATGGGAGATCATCATATGTAATTAAACCTTTATGAGTAGTTGAGGTTGAATCTTTTCGACAAATGAGTGGAGTAGGTGGTTTTTTAGATTCTGATTGTCGTAAAGAAGTAGGTAGTTTCTCACAATCCAATTGTCGTAAGTCAGGTATTGCTGAATCCGAAACTTTTGATTTTTCCATCATATCGTGAAAACGTATTCGTTCGAGATGAGATGAATGAGGATGAAATTTGCAAGGGAAAAGAGAAATTAATGTATTAAATGAAGTTCATATGAAAATGATGTTGGAAGGAATTATGATGAAAGCGCTTGTGTTATGACGATGCCTTGTAATGGTAAGAGCGCTTGCGTTGTAAAGTATGTTTGAATACGGTTGAAAAGTAGGTGAAATGTATATAAAATAAGTCTCGACTTTCTTAAGAATGAATTGAAGATATAGAATATTGGAGATATAGAATATTGAAGATATAGAATATCTTAATTAACTTTCAATCATCCGAAATAATCCCACATTTGGAAACGTCTCAGAAGTACCGGCGGTATATATGAAGAGTAAAACACTAGTCTATTCACTCAAGAACTCAAGAATCTAAGATCTATTAAGAGAACAAATAATCATACTAAACTTCCCAAACTATAAGAAAAATGTTGGAATTGATGATCCCATAAAAAGAGAAAGAAAAAGATGTGGGAAAGAAATGAAATCATTGATTGCTCATATGTGAATTGTGCTTACCAAAAAAAGATAGAAGAGATTCGATCGTGGATTTCGGCAAATCCGGGTAAATTGTTATATCCGATTACACCGATATTACCTACGTAGTCACGTATAAGACAACAAACCAGGGGGAGAGATGGAGTTTTTGGTATTGGATGAAATGGATAAATCTATAACGTTGACGACAGATGAATGAAAATGAATGGCAAATCAATAGTACATTAATAGTACGTGCATCGCATAGAATCGAACAATCAGATAAATGATGCTTATCATTCATTCATTTATATAGAATACTAAGCTATAATAATTATCAAGAAACCACAACCTCAATCATTTCCTCCCAATACACCATCTAGTCTTCCCAATATATAAACTATCATAAGTACAAATTCAAATGGGTATGTGCTAAAACCATTCAATGCTAAAAACAAACGCCAAGACCATGGAAAATACACACGGTATTATTAAACTTTCTCGTTCGTCTTTCCATCATTTGATATTACTTGAGCATTGGTTTTTTCTGCTTCCTCTCTTAATTTCTCTTCCTCTCTTCCCCTCTTAATTTCTCTCCCCATCTTACTTCCCCTTCCCCTCTTACTTCCCCTCCCTCTCTTACTTCCCCTCCCCTCTCTTCCCCTCGTACTTTCTCTTCTTCCCTAACTTTCTTTTCCTCCGCTTCCTTTTCCATCCTTACCATTCTTTCTTCTCTCCAAATTGGTCCCCATTTCAACTCAATCCATAACATTGGTGATGCGACAATACATACAAGAGCAATAAATGTAAAACACCATCCTCTTCCCATATGATCAATCATAATAGTAATAATACCTGTTCCACCTGCACCAAGTAAACATCTTACAAGATTATTTGCTGCTGTTGCAGTAGATGGACTTTGTGGATATAAATCAACAACAAGTGTACTAAGAATATTAAAAGAACCATTAATAAAAAGTCCTAAAAAGAATTGAAGAATGAGTGGTGCAGCCAAATTTGCATTCTTCTCCAAAACCCAACCGTAACATAAATAACAAGCCAGTCCCATAGTTAAAAGAGGCCAAATTATTTCTAATCTAGCTCTTTCAATTGGAAAATGTCTCAAATCATCACCTCTCTTACGATCGATATTAAATCCAATATTTTGAGCGATTTTTTGATAATTTCGATCCAACATCTTCCCATTGATAATACTAGCCAAAGCACAACCACTTCCAAATGGAATATAACATAAACCAATTTGTAAATCATTGAAATTATAAATTTCTTTAAAAAGTTGAGGTAGAGAAGCTGTGACATCATAAAATGCTGTATAAAGTAAAGCATTATAAAATAATACCATGGCAACATCTTTCTCCATGACGATATAAACAGTCTTCAAAGGATTTGGCCATCGTAATTGTCGTTTACTTGCAAGTTCAACTTGAGCAAGTTTTCTACTTTCAGCTGTTGCCGTTCGAGAAAGTCCATTTTCCGATTTTTGTTCTTTTCGATATTTCCTCCAATCAATAATTGTCATATTCCAACCTTGAGGTGGAATAGATCCATTACCAACAACATTACGACCAGTTTCTGGAACCGTGAGAGTAAATGGTATGAGGAATAAGGCAGCGAGAATAACGAGAAACCAAAAAATTGCTCTCCATCCTAGAAATTGAGCCAAGATACCACCAATAACCGGACCTATAGCAGGACCCATCATTGTACCAGCTCCAACGATTCCCATATATGATCCACGTTCAGCACTTGTTGATACATCTGCAACAACACCAAATCCTAAAGCAATTGCACCACTACTTCCACAACTTTGTAAACAACGTAAGATGAATAAAGCAGCATAACTATTCTGTAAAGCCAACCCAATATTTGCACCCAAATATATAATGAATGCAATAATATATGTAGGTCTTCTTCCAGCCATATCTGCTAAATCACCAAAGACAGTTGGTGCAAGACCTTGAAAGATCATGAAAGATGTAAGGGTCAAGTTGATAAGGGTATTCGATACACCTAGATCAGCGGCGAGTGGATTGAGAGCTGGGAAATAAATGTTGGCGGATGTAGGTGAGATGAAAGCTGCCAATGTACACATTCCAACAATATATCTTTTTTTCCATACACCAAAAGCTGAATATGGTGGACCAGATACAACAGGTGCTAATTCGAGATCGTGTGTTCCATCTTGATCTTCTGCGATTGAAGAAGCGGCCGAGGATAAGGATTGGGATGGAGATGCGGTAATGGATGGGGATGCGGTAATGGATGTGGAATGAACATGAGTTTGAGTTTGTTCTGTAGATCTTTCCGTCTCGTCTGCGATGGTATTCTTTGATATTTGATTCGTTTCTTTAGGAATGATAGCACTTTGTAAACTCGCTACCATTTCTTCTGATTTTTCCACATTTTCAAGTCGATTATCTTCGATCATGATGAAGAAATTGAAACATGTGAAATTGATATTCGAGTAAAGAAACAAGAATAGGAGATATACTTAAAAGAAGATGAAAATCACTTACCATTGGAAAGATCATTGAAGAGACATAGTATATATAAGAAAGGTTAAAGCCGATCAAACATTTTAGTTATTCTCATTTTATCGCCATGAAAGATGGAAATCAATATCAAATCCTAATCATTTTAGTGGTACTTTACGGCACTTTGGATCCGATCCATCATTCAACAGACTTTCATTCGTCGAGAGACAGTCGCAAGACCTTGGCCGATATCGCAATCCAGTCTTGAAGTGAAGCATTGATCGCTCGAATCCTACCAAGTGCGGTAATCGCAAGAGTGTATTGCGAATTGGGGAAGGAGACATGAGATGATGATGAAATGGGAAATGGGAAATGGAAAATGGGGGTTGTGAAATGGCGGAATGATGATGTAAAAAATGATGAATAGTTATAAATGATAGAAGGGCAGAATGGCAGAATGTTAGAATGGTAGAATGGTAGAATGGTCGCTTGATAAGATAAAAAAGGAGAGAGAATATTGAAGAAGTTGAAGGGACATTACTAGATAATAAAGTTAAAGTTATCTAGTAATAAGTTACTACAAAGTAGATTTCTGTGTTGTCAACCAGGCTGAAATTCAAATCGTCGGCAGTCATTCTCATTGGAGGGCACACAGCCTCTCCTTACATAAACATTTTTACTTTTATTTCAGCCTCGTCATCGCATCTGGTCAGACCAGCTTTATTGAAGTGAAGTTATTCAAAGCTTTCAATTCAAGCTCTTATTGTACAACAACTTCACACGGCATTCAATATTTTGATGCTTTGAACTCTTCCATGCATTACCTAGGCCTTCAATCATGACAGACATCACTCCCGAGTTCAATAAACTGTTGATGGGGCTTAATGCCCCTCCAACAGTTGATCCTTCTTTAACCCTTCAAAATATTGATGAATTCTTAAAGGAAGCTTATCGAATAGTATGTGATACTCAAATCTATTCCGCACATTTAACGTACTTACTTACCTCTTTAGAATTCACATATAGCTTCATTGAATAGCTACCTAAAAGATATTCGACAATCCTACCTTTCAACAACAGCACCTCCCGCAAGAAGAACGCATACATCCAAGACGAAACAACGAAGACATCTTACCGATCGACAAAGAGAAGAAATCGATGCCGAAACTAAAAAGTTATTACGAGAATTGAATTTCAATATAAGGAGTATGGATGAGGCAGAAGGAATACGATATACTACCGAAACACTCATAATACAAAATAAATATGCGAGAGCTCTTGGAAGATTTGGAAATTGGGCAGCAGGAGGAGGAGAACAATCCAAATCATTGGAACAACAATTGGAAGAAGCAAAATTGAATGCGATTAAGATGCATCGAGATAATGTTACATGGTATTTACGACAAAAACTTTCGGAATGTGGAAAACTTCAAGCTTCAATGATGGAGATTAGAATCATGAGGGAGGTGGAAAAGAATAAGAGTAATCTTGCCAAATCTCGAGCAATGATGCCAGATCTTGGGAATTTGGGAGATTCATCATCAGTCAAGTTCACATCAAACGGAGATGCTCATCTAGAGGCACAATCACATCCACAACCACAAACATCGGATTCTCAGTTGAGTTCGGAACAATTACAAATGTTGGCGGAAGAAAATCATGATATGGTAAAACATTATCAAAGTACCTTGGATCAAGTCAAGTAAGTTTTGTGATTCTTGGGTGATTCTTGGACGTCTTGAATGTCTTGAATAATTCTTGAATAATCCTTGACCTTATACTAACTATTTCTTAGAACGGCAGAAAAGTCCTTGATTGAAATTTCGGAACTTCAAACTCGACTTTTAAACAGTGTAGCATCACAAGCGGAACAAATTGAAATTCTAGCCGAACAATCTTATCAAACTACCGAAAATGTTGGGGGAGGTAATAAAGAGTTGAAAAGAGCAACGGAACGAAAGAGTACAGCCAAGTATGTATTCTATGCATCATGTGGTCTCAGTGCTTTTTTGATATTATGGGATTTAGTGATATGAGTATTATTTATGTAGTAATGAAGCATGAAGCATGAAGCAATGGAGTAATGAAGCTGTGTAGTAGTGTAGTAGTGTAGCAATGGGGCAATGGAGTAATGAAGCCACGAAGCCATGGAGTAATGAAGCAAAGTACTAGTAAAGTAGCAATGAAGGAATGAAACCATGTAACATCGAAGCAATGAAGTGGAAATAGAAAATTGATAGAAGTGGGATACCAAGTATTTAATATCTGAAACTTTTTATAGAGTAGTAATCCGTAGAACCGTACCAATCATTTCACTTTCATTCACATGTAAAACTACCTGATCGTTTATCGTGACTTGCTTGGCCAGGTACCCGAATCCAAATGAAGGAAATTTATCTATCACAGGGATTTTATTTATGGGTCGATATCAGCAGTTGGATGTTGAACGTCAATGCCGAAGTTTTGGAATGAATTTGAGGTATTAGAAATGTGTTTTGATTCTTGGGGTTGAGTATACCTAGGTAGGATATATCTAAGTCTTAGGAAACCTCGGATCAAAGTGTATAGAGTGAGTAGGTAGGTACCTAGGTAGAGAGAGCAGCATAGAGAAGACGATACCTCGGTTCAAAGATGAAGCCTTAAATGTTCCATCGTAAAAATCATCTTAAACTTCTTCTTCTCTTAGGAAATATATAACTTACCGGTAAATCATTGCTTACCATTAACTAATAAATTTTGATACGAAAATAACTCAATTATATAAAGGTAGTATCATAAATCACCCCAGATTCCGCCAAGCGAGACACGGGTCCCGCATGTTTCCGCTGTTTTAGAGGCAATAATCATTACGCCAAGATTATATCATGACATTTAAATCTTCTTCCCCTCCCTTTGCTATCAATTCGCCATTAACACTTCAATCTTCTTTATTACCCTCTTCTCAATCAATCTCTTCTCAATTCTCAATCAATCTCTTCTCCTAAAGCAAGACTTCAAATCACATGTCTCAATTATCCAATACAAGTTTTCCAGAGGATGCAGTTCCTCAAGCTCCAGAAGATCCCCTCTTCGGATTAATGGCTGCTTATCGTGCTGATACTTTTGATAAAAAGGTTGATTTGGGTATTGGAGCTTATAGAGATAATAATGCTAAACCTTGGGTTTTACCCGTTGTCAAGAAGGTATTTGATTAATTTAATTCTCATTTGATATCTGCTAATCTTTATTTCTAGGCGGATGAAATTCTTCGAAATGACCCCGCTCTCAATCACGAATACCTTCCTATCGCTGGTCTCAACACTTTTACCTCCGCAGCCGCCAAACTTATGCTTGGTGCAGATTCACCAGCTCTCGCAGACAAACGTTCTTGTTCAGTTCAAACCATATCAGGCACAGGTGCTGTTCATCTTGGTGCACTTTTCATCAAGAAATTTTACCCAGGTTCTCCCACGGTTTATTTCAGTAATCCAACATGGGCAAATCATAATCAAATCTTTTCCAATGTTCATCTACCAGTCGCTACATATCCATACTTTTCAAAATCTACAAAAGGTCTCGATTTCGATGGAATGAAGAATACAATTCAAAATGCTCCGGATAAGAGTATCATTCTCCTACACGCTTGTGCACATAATCCTACTGGTGTGGATCCAACTCAAGATCAATGGAAAGAACTGGCCGCTCTCTTGAAACAAAAACAACATTTCCCTTTCTTCGATTGCGCATATCAAGGGTTTGCTTCAGGAGACTTGGCAAAAGATGCTTGGGCCGTTCGTTATTTTATTGAACAAGGGTTTGAACTTTGCATCGCTCAATCATTTGCCAAGAATCTTGGTTTATATAGTGAACGTACTGGATGTTTTCATTTCGTTACAGGAGCAGGATCAGATGCGGAGAAGAATATTGCCAGAATCTCAAGTCAATTGGCTATTTTACAAAGATCCGAAATCTCAAATCCTCCAGCTTATGGTGCTAGAATTGCAAGCACCATCTTGAATGATGAAGCATTATTCAAAGAATGGGAAGCAAATTTGAGGGAAATGTCTGGAAGAATTATTACTATGCGTAAAGAACTTCGTTCGAAACTCGAAGAAATGGGTACACCAGGGAAATGGAATCATATCACGGAACAAATTGGAATGTTTTCATTCACAGGTTTATCTGAGAAACAAGTCATGGAATTGAGAAATGAAGCTCATGTTTATATGACCAAGAATGGTAGAATTAGTATGGCGGGGTTGAATACTAATAATATTGATTATTTTGCGAGGGCAGTTGATAAGGTTGTAAGGAAGACACAACAAGAGAGTGCACATCTTTAGGGTGTTGGGATTGAGTAGGATTGTGAGTGGAGATGTGAGTGGGAATTGATGGGGGAAGATATGAGAGATGTGGTTGTGAACCGAGGAAATGAATTATTGGACTGATTAGTTGGTGCACTGGGACGGAAGGAAGGAATGATGGATGGGCGAAAGAAAATGGGATTTTGTCGGACAAGGATTGAATTGGGTTTGAATTGATTGGGATTGAGGTTAAGGGAAGATGCATGCAATTAGATTTTCGGACGATTCAAATATGAGGTTTATGAGAGGCGTAAGCTTTCTGATCTTGGAAGAATATTATAGGAGAGAGTCATATGAAGGAAGAAAGAGAAAGAGAGAAGAATAGATCTCAACTCGATTCTTGGTATTGAGCTGTGTTTATTTTATTTCCCTTGCTTCACTGTGTGATGTACTGTGATAATTTCCATGCTGTACTATATCATGTCATTCGATTTATATATAGTTCTGGTAGTTCCTAGAATTCATTGTCGTTCAATTATCATGATGGTTAAATATCGGATAGGGGGGTACCTGGGAAGATGAGCAGAAATTGGAAGTTGTGGCGGGTGGGATGATGGAAGGGGAGATGTAATGAGATGCAGTGGGTGAGGAGAGAATTGGACATTTGGGGTAGGAGGGGTAGAAGGGGTAGAAATTTAGGGGTGTTTGGTGTGTGGTCGGGGAGCGGAAGAATAGGAGGAAAGAGTAAGAAGAAGGACGAGAGCGAGGAGTGGGAAGTGGGGCTGTGGGCCAGTGCGCAGTGGGAGAATAGAAGAGGGAGAGGATGGATAGGTAGTGCAAGGGAATGAAATATGTATGTACTGGGGCCGAGAAAATGCGGGGTAGAGATCGTGGATAGGTACTTATTGATGCTTAGGGATGGAAGCATAAGTTTGGTGATATTTATTTAAATACCTACCTTGAGTGATCAAGACTGGTAGGTGAATCTCGAGAAATGTCTTGGTCTTGCTGGAAAGGGTGATGGTCATTTTGCTGTTTTTTTGGGGGGGGGGGGGGGGTTGAGATATATAAGCTAGTACAAGGTTCTCAACAGTTGGCTGTTATACTTGGGAAATGCTGTTTGATTGACAGTTAAGGTTTTCTTTTTCTGTGAGCGTTGGAGTGATTTTATGGCGGTGGTTTGTTACTTGGTGTGTTTTGATTATTGGGGAGGTTTGGGGGGGAGGGGACAAAATGGAGGAGCGGGAATTGAGATGGATGGGTGACGGTGGGATTGGTGATGCGGTGATGGTGTGCTGGTGATGTGAATATGATGGGTAACGGTGGTAATGACGGTGATGAAATTATTGACAATGACGAGGGTTCATGGTGGTGATGATAATTCTCCCGTGCCAATTGATGAAAATCAATACCAAAATCGATGGATGATGAAGAGGTCAAAAATCTTTCGGGTGTGGAGGGGGCTGAATTGTTGTGTACGTGAGTACTTATTGTGTCTTGGTTGATTCGTGGAGATGGAGTTTATTGCGGACATGAACTGGGTATTGCTGATTTTCTGGTTTGCTAGGGAGAACTAGAGTGTCGTGGAGTTTCTATTTAGGGGAGGTGGTAGAGATTTGGAGATGGGGGTAATTGGGAGATGTGAGGGGGAGGGGGAGTACGCTGAGGGGCATACTTGGTGATATTCAATTGCCTAGGTACCTATATAAAGGTAGCTATTGACTTCTCTTCTAGGGTCAAAATACTCTAAGATTTTGGAACTGCGTTCATTATACGGTTGGTTTCTAGCACGCGATAAGTATGTAAGATTTGTATTTTTATTTATTTAGGGGTTCGTTTTGAGTACCTCATGATGTGAGGATTGATAGGATGTTTACTGGATGATGGTGAAAGATTTCTACAAGTATGGACAGCGATGAAGCACTCTCTACTTTGTTTGTCAATTTCGACAATGGAAATTACAGATGGACGATAGAGATTTAGAGAGAAGATAGGAAGGATCCGATTCCTGGGGGGAGGGGGTGGGAAATGGTATGATTCTAAGTATCTTTTCATTTACCCATTGATCACCAAGAACCCTCTTTTAACAACCCTCTATGTTTACTTCCTCTGTATTTTTTTGGCTAGATAGAGAAGTTGGACGTTTTTATAGAAGTCTTGTGGGAGATTTATTCAGAGGGCGGGGTGGGTATGTCATTGGGGTGAAAGGAGACGAGAGACTGAACATTCGTAACCTTACTAATCATTGGTTAGGAAATATAAGGGAGAATCGATCATATTTGAGAAAGAATGAAAAGGAAATATGAGATCTTTCCCATTGGAGTATTTCAACTCAACCAAAGGGACTTTTACAGAACTACAATTTTACTATCAGCTGGCCATATTCGAATGGGTATATGTGCGATCGCAATGACGGGAGTAAGGTACGGAGCTGTGAAATTGTCGGATTCGGCGTATTGAAGTGATCGAGGGGAAGGAATGTGTGCTGATGGTGAAAGTAATGGGATTGGAATTGATGGTGAGTATCTAATAAGCCGTGATAAATAGTGTTTCTTGTTCTTGTTATTTTCTCAAATGATAAATATCATTGATCCGATGAAATGAGATTCAGGTGGAAAGATATATCTCTGGGAAGGGAGGAGAATGACTTCACAGCACATCTTGCTAGAATTTCGATTCAATCATACCACTATGAAGTTAATGCGAGTACATTGAATGAGTGTCTCCATAACACACTTGAACATTGTTTGTGATGGTATACTTGGTTTGTCGAAAAGAATGCGGAATCTTATTATAGGGAGTAAATAGGGGATTGGACAGCCGAGATATGTAGGTGAGAATCTCGCACGTGCAGAGATATCGAGTGAATTTCTAACTTTTGCGGGTGCGACTTATGTGAGGTTCAGGAGATGAAGACGATACCTAACTCAGGAAAGTGCATATAATTGGTGACCGGCTGTCATCTTGGATTTCGGATGGAATGGCTACCCAGTTATTTAAACTCCTGCTAATCATTCGGCAGTAGACCAGATTCTTCAATACAGGAATCCAAAATAAATGGCCATGCATGGAATAACTTTGCAGATGCCATGATCTATTCAAGAGGATTCATGTTTTTTCTTTCCAATAGAAAAGCTGGGAAACCTTAGCCCGGGAGTTTCACTCTCACCGGCTTGTGTGTTATCATCATCACATGATGGATATTCAGTGTCACGAATTAATACGCAGAATCTCAACAACACTACAATTCATAAGTGACAATACTCAGACATCCACTTTACAATCTTTCTGGGATATACATCTAGGTATCCTCCTTTCGCAATTTGCAAAATGCTTGAAAGTTCGTCGCAAATTCAAACACAGCATTCATAGTCGACCTGGGTGGAGTACCTCTACGTCGTAAGTTTTCATGCCAATTCGGGGTTTCAGATTGGATCTCGAGGTTTAAATACAGAGAAATAAGAGAACGGTTAGAATCGTGGTGAGTTGTGTTTCATAAAGTTGATTATTTACTGTACAGCACATTGGGAGATGGTGTTGGGGTAAAAATTGGGGGAAAGATAAATGTGAGAGAGGTTAAGGATCCCTAGGTGCTTTCTAATTCTAGCCAGATTTTAAAACCACAAATGGCTATTTAAGTCCACTCAGTATCTCCTTGTAAAGAATAATATGTTTAATACCGTACAGAGAGACAATAAATGCAAGGTGGAGAATTCGTTGGGATACCTATCCTTCAGGCAGCCCCAGCTGGAGATGGAAGACGTTATTTGATCTGAATTGCATGTGGCATGTGGCTTGTGAGTTATACTTGAAGCAAGTGCTGTAATCGCGGTAGAGTTATTGTCATTGTCGTTTTCTTCCCATCGAAGCTTTCCTCGTTTATTCGCTGTTATTTAGTTATGGGTGGTTTATCATATGTACTGTTCATCTCACACATGTCACATGTCAAATCGCGAGGAGTAAGTGAAATTCCATCTGGAAACTTTCATAATCCACCTACTTCCAAGGGATTAAGGTCATAGAAAAAAGCTTCCCGAAGAGCTTGTATAGATAGCCCCGGCCGAAGAAAACAAAGTGTAGGGATTTAGAGGTTCTTCGAACAAGACAGAATGGATAGAATCATCGTATAGCACACAAAAGCTTTATGGTACCTATTCACTAAATATAACCCAAAGACTACGCATATCACTTATTCCACAAACTGATCATCGGAAAGTCAATGGAAGAGTAAGATGGATGGATAGATGTTATTAATTACCTTTCTATTTATCCATATCCATGAATGTCCAATGGTCAGTCAGCCATCCAAGGTTTACTACACTAAAACTCTAAGTTCAATACCCCACTTTTCGGCCACCCCTCTTTTCGGCCACCTTATAAATCTCATCGCTCTAACCAACCATCTCTCTTCAATCTTTAATGATTCAATAATCACTAAATCAATTGATTCAAAAATTTGATATATTGTCAATTATATTATAGGTAGTAATTATATCAAAGATGATATTATTATAACACTTAATACTATAGTAGGAGATATAACTATCAGAAAAGCTAATTTGAATTATAGAATACCCCACATTACTCTTCAATATCATATAAAAGATCACCTTTCCCATCAAAAAGGTGCTCAAAATATACAAAAGATAGCCCCGATATAGAAGAAAGCATTAATCGAATGAATATTAGTTCAAAAGGCTTTAAATATTAGTCCTATATATCAGCAGATACGAGAAATTGGCGAAACTCTTCTTAAAGTAAAAGGGAATGAGCTTACACTTGAAAAACAATGGATATATAACTTCCTACTTAGAAACCCTAAAATTCGAACCAAAAGATAAATTAGAATCAATAATCAACGTGTTTCAGGTACTACTATCGAAATTATTAGCAAGTTCTTCGAAAAGTTGAATTTGCCGGCTATTATCCATATTAAGCCGGAAAACAGATGGAATATGAATAAAGCTGGTATTATGGAAGACTAGGGCTTGAATGGTATAGTACTTGGGAGTGCTGAGAGATGCTTTATTCAAAAGAAGCAGCTTGGCACAAGAAGTTGGATCTTTTTTATTGAGTGTATTTCTGCTATAGGAAAAGCACTATTACCCCTTGTTATATATAAGAATAAAAGTATTCAACAACAATGGTTCTCTACTGAGCTTGATATATATAAGGATTGGAAGTTCCATACTACAGAAAATAGATGGACTATCAATGAAACAGGTCTAGCATAGCTAAAAGAGGTCTTTATTCCTCAAACCGCCCCTTCTGACCCAAAAGAGGCTAGATTGCTTGTTTTGGACGGGTATAGAAGCCACAAAACCACTCAATTTATGCTTGAATACTTCAAGAACAATATACACTTTTTATTCCTTCCTTCACATATATCACATATATTACAACCTCTTGATTTATCGATATTCTCTTTTCTAAAACGTAAATATCAATATGAGCTCAATAAATTAGATTCACTATCTAATTCTACACTTATAAACAAAAGGAATTTTCTTATATACTATTAGAAAGTAAGATTAAAAAGTTTAACTCTAAATAATATTACTTCAGAATAAAAAGCTTCAGGTTTATAACCTCAAAACCACGCTAAGCCTCTTTTATCCAGATTATTGCTTGAAAATAGTAATAAAGAAGTTCAAAGTTTGAATTCAATTTTAGATAATGATTTCATACTTCAATGGAATATAGATTCATTTTTGATTCGATAAGAAACACCATAAAAAGCAAATGATCTATGAAAATATATATTAATATTGAAATCTAAAAAAGAAACAGACTTATACGCTCGTTGATTACTCTTTTGAAAGATCCAAAAAGCATTTAATACTAAGAATTATAAAATTATAAAGTCTAAATATCGAATAAAGGAATTAGAACACAAATTAGAATATATTATATCTATAAAAAAAGAGGAAGGTTAATACTAGTTTAAATTCGAAGTTTTCTGGAATTAAGGCTATATATCAGGCTCAAATCGAAGCCAGTGATCATGAAATTGATAGAGTGGACTCCAATAGTATATATGAAATTGATGCTATAGAAGATTGTATTGTAATTGGATAGTTATTGAATTATTAAAGTTTAAAAATTGTATATATATATTTTATGAGGTGGCCGAAAAGAGGGGTGGCCGAAAAGTGGGGTACTGAACTTATGATTTATTTCAGTACAGCGGTAGTGCGGATATGGATTCATGGTATTTTATTTAATTTCAAACGTATGTTGGATTTTTCTAACTCTAACTCTTACTCTGACTCCAACTTTTGCTCTGACTCTAACTCTGACTTTGACTCTAACTCTAACTCTAACTCTAGACTCTAACTCTAACTCCATAAATATACATCCACCATCTCTCCACGCTAGGCTGCCATGAAATTCCCTGCACTATCCATTCATGATCTATCTACCACTCATTTCGTGACTTTATCTCCGCTCCCCCCATCCCAACGCAAAAATAAAGTCCCGCCATCATTACATTACATCATACAAATCATAAAAATCAACCCAACAAAGTATCTATCAATCATCCCTATCATACACACACACGTGATCCTCTCCTCCTCTCCTCCTCTCCTCCTCTCCACCCCACCACCACCATCTCACCTACTCTTCCCCACTATCCCCATGTTCAAAATATCTCGACCTCGTCCCCGTCTCACTCACTCTCTTCGCATTCCTACTCGGTGTCTTTCTTGTCGCTGGACTAGAAATTACGGGTATCCTTCCTTTCTTTTTCGTCACCGATTTCCTCGGTATTGATTTTTTCAGAGGGGGTTTTATTACTTCTTCCTCTTCCTCCCCATCGTCCATTTCAATATCAGATAGTGAAGAAGATTTACTATTCTCCTCCTCCTCCTCCTCCTCATCATCATCATTATCCGAATCCGGTATCCTTTTTCGTTTACTAGAAGTCTTCGATATTGGAGCTACTCGTTTTGCGGGTGTCTTCGGTTTAGCTTCAGGTTTTGAGGTTGGAGTAGGTTTTGCTTTAGCTAGAGTTTGGTTCGTAGATGCTGTCGGTCTTCCTCTACTGCGAGATATTGGTGCAGGAATTATAACTTGAGGGGTTTTGGGTGGAATTTCCTCCTCCGATGTTAATTCATCTTCCGAAGTTGAATTTGTTGCGGTATTTTCATTTCCAATAAATTGGAATGTTGGAGGAGTCGTTGATGAAGTACCATTAACATCGTTGGCACCATTAATTCCATCAATACCATCAAGCTCATTTCCTTCATCTTCCACTATAAATCCACCATCTCCATCATCCTGTGAAGCCACAACAGGAAAAAAACTAGTCGAATACTTTTCTTCCGGTTCTTCTTCATCATAACCATCAGGAAAAAATCCACCTGCCATTTCTTCATCTTGTTGTTTCATTTCCATCGCTTTTTCTTCCAATTCCAAATCTCCATCAACCTCCTTTACTTTCTTCTTATTATTAAATGGATTAACCGCATCTACTTCCTCCCCACCATATCCATATTCATCCGTCATCCTTTCAATAATTCGAAGTCCTATTAACATTCTCCTCCACATCTCGATCGCAGCCTTAGTTATCTTCTCATCTCGTTTCCTATCTCTTTCCATTTCATCCTTTTCCCATTCTTTCATAACAAGATCCAAATTCTCTTCAGCAACCACAACGCCAGTAATAATTGGTATAGCCATTCTAGCACCAAATTCAAATCCAGTAACCGCTTCCGCATAATCAATCCCTAATCGTGTACAAATTCTCTTCGTACCTCTTCTAGGAATATGCACCGCACCAACTGGAACCATACTTGGAACATAAACATCCATATTTCCATATCGATTTTTCGGTATCACCCCATTCTCAATGGGTGGAGGAATAATCCAATCCGTTTGATCACGACTATAAAGACCTTGTAACATCTTTTCTCCACTCTCCAATTCCGCTTCTGCAAGTTCACGTTTTCGATTTGCAGTTGCGGCTCGATATGGTACACGTTTTCGGGGGATGGCACCAGGTAGAGGCGCTCGACCATCTTTATGCCATGCTTCTAATGTTTTACAACTGACGACATCTTTTCGAAGAAAGACTTTCTCTTCGGTTGGATTATCACCTTTTGATTTTACAGTAAACATTTTGACATGTTTTGCTGTATCCAGAATCGCTTCTTCTCTTCTGAGATGTCTTTCCAATACAAATTCCGAAGAGGATTTAAAAGATTGAAGACTTTCTCCTTCCTTGTTTTTCTTGGGTTGAATAGCTTTAAGATCCGTAGCTTCTTCATGGTCATCGATTTCACATTTCTTACTTCCTACATAGCCAATCATGACAGTTTGAAACCAATCATATTGATCATAACGTTTGACCTTTCCTTTCGAACTGTAAATCGGAACTTTCTCAATTGGAATTCGATTTCCTTTGGTTCGACCAGGTAACATATGACCTTTTAAATATCGAATCGTAACATCTTTCGCTGTACCATCTGATGAATGTCCAATAATATAAGCCGTAACTTGTTTAGCTTTATCAGCTTTTGCACCACGAGGTTCAAATTTTTGAAGAAGTTCGGAATTGGTGGCAATGACATTCAGAACGAGTGGATCAATAGGTGTGTAGGTATTGGTGATGGGTGATAAAACTTCTGTCCAATAATGTGGAAATAAAAGATCTTTGTCGTATGATTTTGAAGGTTGTATACGAGGATTTGCTGGTGTAATATCAACTACAGATTCATCGTCGTCTTCTTCTTCATTATTGACCATCGAAACTTCGGAATCTGATAAATCAATTGGAGCATCTTTGAGTCCATTTCCACGGGAGCTTCTTCTTGTTGAATTATTGGTAGATTTGGTGGGGTTTTTTGGTTTCTGAGTGGATTTTTCTGTTCCATTTATTTTCTTCGAGGATTTGGGGGGAGGTTTTGCTGTGAGCGTGGTGGTAGAGTTGGTGGGCTTCGTAGGCTTGGTAGGCTTGGTAGTCGGCGTCGTAGTAGGTTTTGTAGGCTTCGAGATATGCTTCGAGACATGCTTCAAGACATGCTCTTCGTCACTACTCTCAGTATCCGATGTATCATCCTTCAAAACGACTTCACTTCTCTTCTTATCCTTCTTCTCTATAGCATCCTCATTCTTATTCCAACCAAATCCTACCGGTTGAAGACTAGCAATCATTCTTGATTCAATACCAATTCCCCTCAATAATGCTGTAAATAATTGAGCCCCAACATCTCGACTTCCTTCCAAAGATTTAGCACATTTTCTAAATTCATGTAAATTAATGATCCTTTCCCCATGTCGTTCAATATCATATTCATCTTTTTGAAAACTCTTCGATTCTTGATCAAGTCTTTCGAGTGACATGTAACCAATTTTTCGTAAACCTGGTGCGACAATTCTAAATCTTTGCTTCCAATAATGTATCAATAATTTCAAAAGTCGAAATATAGGATCTCCACGACTCATATTGATTTCACCGGCTTCTTGTCTTTCTGCAGGTTGTCCCCAATCTCGTTGATTTCTAATATCGACCTTTTTTCCTTTTGTGACCTTTCCTTCTCCTTTCCCTTTCCCTTTCCCATTCGACTTTGGAGTATCATCCACCTTACTTTGTAAACCACTATCCTTTCTCCATTTTTCAATCTCCCTCAAAATGGTTTCCGGTAATTTTCCCACCAAAATATCTTGTAATTCTTTATCACAAAGCCAAGAATTTCTAATCGCATTATGCCACATTAACATTTGCACATGGACTTTATGTGTAGCCATTCTTATTCCCCTCTCAATTTTACTGGGTCCTTTCTTCGTCCCCAATGGATTTGTAAGTGATATTCTCGTTTCTTTCGTTAATGTCAGTTCGAGATCTCCAGTGGGTATATTCGCAGATGGCTTATTTGTTATATTTGTGTCGACATCTTCGAATTCAATATCTTCCTCTTCATCTTCATCCTCATCCTCATCCTCATCCTCATCCTCATCCTCATTCTCCGTCGCATCGTCATTGGGTTGTCTATTCGTATTTGGAACATCTTCGAATTCATCATCGGAAAGAGATGATAAGGAACTCTCATCATCTTCATCTGTAGCTTGAATTTTGCGTAAGATTGCCTTGGTATCCTCAGGACTTTTCGCTCCAGCATCCAAATCATCAAATAATGTAGATTTTCGTGGAGTGGCTTTTGATGATTTACTTCTTTTGCCTTTCTGTTGTTTTGATGGACCTGGTTGAGAATCTGACTCTGGAGATGGTGAACGTAAACGTTTGCGCGGAAGGAATGGAGGCATATTGATCTATCACCGAAACATAATCTTGAGAAGTATTGAAGTCGGTCGAGTTGATGTGATTGTCGTAGAATTCTCAATTAACACGAACTCAACACGAAGTCAGGCGTTGTGGAATTAAATTGGACGCGCGAAAATGATTTATTGCAATTAAATAATGAGGTCATCAATAAATTGGGTACCGACAGGGGTATGAAAGCGATCACATTAGGCATTGATAAAGGTGGCAACGAAGGTAAGAGAAAGAAAAGGTGTAAATTTTATATTTGATAGTATTGATGTGTATGTATGTAATGTTGGTGTATTGAACATCTTCTTCTTTCCTGGCTTTTGAAACGGTCAAGATGTGGATGTGGATGTATGAGTGTTATCGTGAGAACTAGTACTTTCATGATAGTAAATCATTCATATTTATATTTACTCATACTGACCATAGTGTCCATACTATTCTTGCTGCTCATACTGCTCATTCTCCTCGTACTGCCGGTACTTGTATACTGTCATACTCTTTCATCTGTGAATATTGCCTCCGTTACTCTTCCTCCCCCTCCCCCTCCACCTCTTCCTCTACTTCAAAAAGTATTCTCAAATCCATCCCAAACTCCAATTAATTCCCAAACCATACCAATATATTCTTCTATTTATTCATCATCATCATTATCCATTCCATCATTATAAACAGCAGAAGAACCTTCCATCCTATTTTCCGAACCAGATACCTTCATTTCATGACCATTCATTTGTCTCCATTCCTTAATACCTCGATTAATCTCTGCTTTATTAACACCATCTTTAACCAGACACATCTTCACTCCTAAAGATTCCACATTCCTATTCCTTGCTTCATCATCAAAAAATAACATATCTTTATATGCTATCCCCGTACTCTTTTGTAATTTCGTAAAATGTGTAATCTTGCTTCCCGGATAGATTTCGAGTTGATCAAAGTATTCAATTGCTTTCCTTTTCTTCCCATCTACATCCATCACATGAAGTAATCTTAACATTTCTCTTCCTAAATCAGGAGCAGAGGTACGAGAAGCGGCTCCAACCATTATGCCATAGTTTTTGAGTTGTGCGAGAATTGAAGGGACTTCATGATAAAAAGTAAAACTTTCCCCCCAACGATCGGTCGTCGCAGAATGTTCAGAATTGGCTTTGATTGGAGGGGTAACATGTGTATCTACCCAAAAAGGCCACAATGTATAATCGAGATCGAATACGATAAGTTTTGGGAGGAGGAGTGAATCTGTAAATGTAGATGGAGGGGTATCGATTGAAGATATTGGAGAAGGGTTATTGGTTTTCTTTATTAATCTTTTGCCCATTGTCGTGAATTAAAGGATGAGTATGAGGGTGATGAAATTCGTATTGTTCGAAGAGAAGGTTTGTATATAGTAGTACTAAATAAGTAATTAGTTTCACGAAAGTTTGTTGAATTGAGTGAAGATGAATGGAGAAGAAATCTTACCAGAGAGAATGGTAAATGTTGAATGATTCAAGGTCGTCCTCTATTTTCAGGCTGTCACTGATGTTGTGAGGTTGCGAGGTTACGCCGCGCCGCATCATGAAAGTTTTAGCGAAGTAAAGCCTAATTTAGGGGCGAGAGGGGGTGAGAGGGGGTGAGAGGGGGTGAGGAAGAACAAGGCGTCATACTTTAAACAATTCACAATCTTCAGCTCGTTATTCAAATTACCTACGAGTAAATATTCCACTTCTTCAGCTGCATTCAATTCCAAGTTCAATTCGTTCATCCATCCATCCATCCATCCGTCCATCCATCCATTTACTCGAGTACATCCATCAATATCATCTAGTCTTGATAATAAAACCCCCTACATAAAAATCAATACACCGATCTCATCAATTACTTTGTACTTCCCCATACTCCATACAAGCTTATGTCTCATTCTACCCGATCATTATAAATTGTCTCACATTTACCGTTAATGACCATAAGCCACCCTTCTAGACTTTTCGATACATTACCTTTAAAAGGTATAGTCGTTTGTTTGATGGTACGATGAGCTACCATGTCAGAAGTACATGAACAACCAAAGAACACAACATCGCGTCATCATACTATACGTAAAGGACGACACGGGGATATTTCATCCCTAGCAGCCGTTGAAAGATCAGAAGCTAAATTGTTCACATGTTTCAACGTTCCCGTTGATGATTCCGTCTTGGATTTATCATGATTGATGTCCATGTTGAAAGATCATCATCTTTGAGTGGCTGTTGATAATGAAGACAATCCCTTGGGATTTCCTGGAGGCTTTAAGGTTGATGATAATTTCCATGTGGCTGAAGTTTCGGTCAATAAGGATAATCAAAGGCAAGGTATTGGGAATTCTTTAATGTATAGAATGATGAAAGATATAAAAGAAGAAGGATTTCAAGGATCATCTGAACTGATCACGACAGTACCATGCTATTACAGGTTGTATAACCTGATATCTCATAGTCCAAAGTCAATGGGAAACTCACAGAATTCCACGCGGATGTCTACTCCAGGGAAACATCATCAGTGCAATATCAGAAATAGAAAAGAGTGGCCCAAGTATTTTCCAATCAGTACCTTTCCGTTAAGCTGGTCAAATGGTCACACTTAGACAAGTAACACGATAGATTTTATCGGGGATTTCCAACACAATTGATAATTGAAAACATATTTGAGATATCAATTGTATTACTTTTATCTTTTACCCAAAGAAACGATTAGATACTCTCGATATTCTCTTATCGATAATATGTGGTTGGGGTCAAAATGATCTGATCTGATCTTCTCTTGATTGAACCATTCAATAACCATGCTCCTCATGCAAGTCAATCTTCACCCCAAATCTGCCCCGCCATTAACCTTTAGATGTCTTTCTTAATATCGACAAAACTTCCATATGGAGTATTTTGATCTTTTTATCCATCACATTCAACTGTATTTCGGTAAGCTACATGATCTTGGTGGGTCTTATCCATTTAATATGGCAAAGTCTACCGAGGCTGATAGGTTGGAATAGAAGTGGTACTTTCATATGTACTCCCAGTACTGATAATAGTACAGAGAGAGTAATTTTAACTTATGTTGTTTGATATCATGGATAAGATATTGAAGATGGGGTAACGATTTGAGGGACATACAAAGTAAACCTCAAGTACCTTTATTTCTATCATATTGTTTTATCTAAACTGGTTGCTCTTGTCACTTTCTCCTCGTTGCTTCCCCTTATTAATCTCACTCAATACCTACTTGATATTTGTTACGCTCTTATCTAGACCTCTCAATTATCATTGTATCTACCTTGAGTTGACTACATCACCTTGAGTTCACTACCAGTCCGCTACAAGTTCACCAACTCATTACCAGCTTACTACAAGTTCGCCGTAAGACCTGGTCAACATCGACGAGGTTCGACAAAAAGGTTCCTTTAAATCTGATATACCATTCACCATTCACCACTCACCACGGTCTACCAAGATGGAACAAATTATGATTGATAAAAGAAATCCATCTCTTCGGAATCTTTCACCAAACTCATCAACCTACAAATCAGAAAAAGTAGCTATATCCGATGGAGAAAATCATTCTCAATGCGCAAAAGTCAATGAAACAGGACATATTCAAGAAGTTGATCGTAATTTCTCTTTACTTTCTATATGCTCAGTTGGTCTTGTTACTGGAAATACATGGGCTGCTTTAGGTGGTAGTATTGCTACAGCTATTTAGTAAGTTATCATTCTTCTAAAAATGAACACTCAAAACTAATATGTTAATAGTAATGGAGGTCCACCGGGTGTTTTATATGAATTTATCGCTGTGTCAATATTTTATTGGCTTGTTGCAGCTTCTTTAGCTGAATTAGCTTCATCAATGCCAAGTAGTGCTGGAGTTTATCATTGGGCATCAATTACTCCTGGTCCAAAATATGGTAAAATTTGTGGTTGGTTTGCTGGTTGGTGGAATATGTTTGCTTGGATTTGTGGTGCAGGTAAATATTATCCCTTCATTTCTTGAGACAAATCTAATTTTCAATAGCTACAATGTCATCTATTGCTTCAAATGTGGTAGTTGCAATATATGGACTTTATCATCCGGATTATGTAGTAGCTAGATGGCATATTTTCATCGGTTACATTATCATAACTTGGATTGCTTGTTGCATAGTATTATTCGCCAATCGTGCTCTTCCAATGATTAATAATATTGGACTTGCTTTTATTTTGGGTGGTGTTTTGTAAGTTTTCATCTGTGGATTCTGGAGTATTCGTAATGATTGACTAATTTTTACACTTATTAGTATCACAATTATAATTTGTGCTATCATGCCATCTGGTACTGGTCATGCTACTCATTCTTTTATTTGGGCAGATTGGGTTAATGATACTGGTTATTCCAGTAATGGATTTGTTTTTCTGGCAGGAATGCTAAATGGAGCTTATGCTGTCGGTACACCTGATTGTGTTTCTCATTTGGCAGAAGAAATTCCAAATCCTGGGAAAAACATACCTCTTGCAATTGGTGCTCAAATGAGTATTGGTTTTATTACTGCATTTTTATATACGATAACTATTTGTAAGTTTTTTCCTTGCGTCTCTGTCTCTGGTCTCATGTCTCTCTCGCCTCCCCCGTGTCTCTCATTTCTCTCATAGTTCTCTTACTGTCTTCATTTACTCTTCTGGTGAAAGATACTAACCTTCTCTAGTCTACGCAACTACCGATCTCGATTCTGTATTGGCTGCACCATTTTTCCCACTTACTCAAATATATTTTCAAGCCACTGGTACCGTTGCCGGAACAACTGGTCTTCTTTTCGTTCTATTCTTTCCAATCTTTTGTACCCTCATCGGAACATATATAACTGCAGGAAGATGTCTTTGGACTCTTGCTCGTGATGAAGCAGTTCCTTTCTCCAATCGGTTACACTTAATTCATCCACATCACAAAAATCCTCTCAACGCAACCATCGCTTGTGGTATTTGCAGTACTATATTAGGAGTTATCTACGTCGGTTCATCAACAGCATTCAATGCTTTCGTCGGTTCTTTCGTCGTTCTTCTTACTCTTTCTTATTTAGCATCAATTCTTCCATTTATTTTCACAGGTCGTTTTAATCATTCATCTCATGAATCAGGTCCTTATAATAATAGAATGATTCCTGGTTGGTTTCGAATGAATAATATTGTAGGTTATACTGTCAATATCATTAGTTGTCTTTATATTATTGTTTTTGTGGTTATTTATTGTTTTCCTTACACAATTCCGTTCAATGCTGCGAGTATGAATTATTCATGTCTTATTGCGGGAGCTTTATCTATTGCAGCGGGGATTTGGTGGTTAGTTAAAGGTGGAAGCTATACAGGACCTCAAGCGGGGATTTATGGTTTACCTGATGTGGATTCTGATGGGAGGAATAATTTGAATGGTATTTCTGTTGGGAACAATGATGATCTAGATAACGGACTTGGAATTGGATCGAAATGATGGGGAGGACTTTAAGGGTGGTATACTGTCATGAAGGTTTTCCTCGGTTCAAGGAATTTCTCACGCTTCGGTTTTCGTTGGGTAAAGGATAAGTATTTTGGGAATTTTAATATATTTCTTTTTGGTGTTGGGCTTTCTATGGATATACTCTTCTATTTCACTAGGAAAGAAAAGGGTGGTGTAGGGAAAATCGATATGCTTCTTCTATTATACATTATAGTTGTTGAGAAGACATATTATGTATCGACTCACTTTTAAACATTGTACTATTAAACACATCCAAAGAATCACGAGTAAGAATGTTCGCAGTACAAAAATCCTATCCATTACACAATTTTAATCTCCTTCCCCCAAAAGAAAACCCTCATTCATTTTTCCACTCTTCTAACGATTCTTCATCCAATCATCTCCTCGTTTAAAGTAGTGCTTATTCGACTTTTTCCGTATGATTTACATATAAATCGCACATTCGCACATTTCGCCTCTTCATTTCATTTCATTTCATTCCTTTCATTTCTTCCCTCAAGAAAATCAAACGGAAGAGACGAGCATAATTAAAATCCGGATTTCATTTTTCAGTCCACGATTTTATTATATTTATAGAACTTGGATACAATAGTTTGAAATAAGATGCAGGATTCCTTGGTGTATTTTATTACGGGGGCGAACAAAGGTGTGTATTTGTGTGTTTTCGGGTTTTGGGAGGGGAAGGAGAGGAAAGTAAAAGGGGGCCCCTTTTTAGAAGGTGCGGGGTTTCGCTTAGGGGTTTCCACAATTCTTTCCGATGACCTTGCGATGGATTTGGGGTGCTGGGCTTTGGATGGATGATTTGGAATTGGACATCATGGTGAATATGGAAATGGAAGTGGAAATAAAAATACTAATGAATAAATAAATAAAAATAGGAATCGGACTTCACTTAACCCGTGCACTTCTCCAACGCGAAAATGCAATCGTTATCGCTACTAAACGCGCTTTCTCTACCGATTCATCCGAGTTAGAAGGTCTTTCTAAAGCGCAAAGTTCGAGACTTATCATTCTTACTCTATCTTCGGAAATTGGAGTTGGGAAAAAGAAAGAAAATACAGTTGATGATTTAGTAGAGAGATTGAAAAATGAAGGGGTAGAGAATATCGATACTCTGATCCTAAATGCCGGAGCTGCTACATCATTTCAATCCGCGGCCGAAACTTCGGTGGAAGAACTTCAGGCTCATTTCCAGATTAATACGGTGTGGCCGATTCGGACTTATCAGGTTTTGAGACCTCTTTTGCTTGTTTCTTCTTCTGTCTCGGGCTCTAAAGAAGGGGAAGGGGAAGAGAAGAAAATACAGAAGAAAATAATTTATATTTCTAGTTACCTGGGTTCGATTGGCGGGATGGAAGATAAGACGCCATCTCTTGCTTATGGTATTAGTAAGGCGGCGGGAAATTATTTTGTGAGGAAAGTACATTTTGAGGAGGAGGGGAGTGGAGCTGTCTGTGTTGCGATACATCCGGGGTATGTTTTTCTTTTTCTTTCTTATTTTTTGGTTTTTGGTTTTTAGTTTTGGGGGGGGGGGGGGGATGAAGAGGGTTCGAGAGAGATGAAATCGGGAGGAGATTTATGGATAGAATATAGGCTAATTATAGAATCTGATAATCGGAATATAGATGGGTTAAAACAGATAATGGACAAGCATTTGCGGATAGTTTGGGGGTAAAGGAACCACCGATGAATTTGGAGGAGAGTGTTGGTGGGGTGATGAGACAGGTATGTAATTGAGAGGATTTTGAAAGTCTACCTGGTTTATGATAGATGGATAATTGCTAATGATTGATGTGTGCGTGTAGATTGATATAGCGAGTAGGGGAAGTACTTCTGGTAGCTTTATTTCCTGGAAGGGAGATGTAGTTCCTTGGTAATGGGAGGACATGGTTAGTGGATTGTTAGAGAAGTGCTGCTTGCTATGCGGAGCTGATCCGATGGCTTTCTTTTACTTGAATATGAAGATAAAATTGTGTTCATCACAGTCTTGTTGTAGCTGAAGACTTTCTCATTTTCGAGACCCTGAGTCAAACATCTACTTCCCAATGTCACACGTTTTCACCTGACCTCTAACGCGATGAAATAATAGAATGAATGGAACTTTTCTGAACGCTACACAATATATCCTCGCACCAAAATTTTATGAAGAAATATGGATTGTCGTGATGAAACAATAATAGAAATAGAAAAATGATAACGTCGTTTTTCTGACGGTCTTTTACGGGTATAAAACATTGATGCTATTGAAATATTTCAAAGTCACGTTTTAATTTCAATGGAAAGTTTTGTCGAGAGCATTGTCGGCAAATTTAACCTCTATGCCCGACCATCTTCCTACCCAATCCTCACCTGGATTTATCAGAATCGCGTGATTTCATAGAATCAATATCCTCCCCTCCTCCCCTTCCTCTTTCCCCACATTCCAAAACCCTCACCAATCAACTCCCAGCCCCTATCATTCTCGCTAATCGATCTCCTCATCCTCATTCCCCCAATCATTTAGTCATCCACCCCTCATTTGTACCCCCCATCTCCCTCCCTATCTCCACATCTAGTCACTCAAATTTTATTCTCCAAATGGTTTATTAAACTCACTTATACATCACAAAACAAGATCAATAAATATCTTTCAAAGATCTTTCTTGTCTCATCGCATCTATTCTATTCTAACATCTACAAACTTCTCCTTCATTCCGCTCGCAAAATTTGGTATTGGTATCCATTGCAATCATTCTCCATTCTCACATTCTTCTTTTCCTTTCCTTTCCTCCCCCTCTACATCACCATCTTCCCCCACTTCTTCCTCAACCTTCACCTCATCTTAGATGAAAAGAATGACAAATTCAAACTCCTCAACACCCATCTATCGAAAAAATCTCATCAAACAAAAAACACCTGCAATTTTATTGGATATGTACATGCATACGTGAAAAAAAGGTGGTATTCATATTATACAATCGACATCGAAGGATATGAAAAGAAGTGGTAAAAAGAATGACATAAACATTAAATATTGAATTGTGTATGTGTATGTGTATATACACTGAAAACTCGAGGTCGAATATGAACGGTAATTGATTTTGATTCCGAAAAAATAGAATCCTCGAGATGAAATCGAATTTGCCGATAAGAGTTTCGAAATGCTAGTAGACGTCGAAAATAAACATCGAATAAGACATTGAATAGACATCGAAAAGGCGTCAAACTTCAATTAAGAAAAAGGTATCAACTCCAAATTGAGTTAAACGTATTTTTGAATTTTCGATGTTTAATTTATGCAGCACCGGTTGCTGGGTAATACCAAGCACATACTGCAATAATTCTATGAAATGTTAGTATAAAATATCACCAAAAAAATGAATTCAAACTTACATGTAAAGACATTGTAAAAGCATTCCCTCTAACCAATGACTTTTACCATCACCAATCAAATAATTGACAAGCAAAATAGCCACAAATAAAACAGCAACTTGGAAACCATCGAAACTCAAGTTCATAGCATCATTACCCATGATCCATCCAATAACAACCAATAAAGGAATGAGGAATAAAGCAACTTGCATACTTGATCCAACCGCTACACCGATTGCAAGATCCATTTTATCTTTGCAAGCAACTGTAACAGCAGTAGCATGCTCTGCAGCATTTCCAACAATTGGTAAAAGAATAAGGCCAACAAATTCTTCCGAGATAGCACCATTTTCAGTAATTGCACTGATACTATCAACCATGAATTCTGCACAAAGTCCAATGATAGCAGTACAAATTGCAAGAGTAGCCCAAGCAACCAAGATATGCAATTGTGCTTCTTCACCTTCTTCCTCTTCATCTTCTTCATGTGCATTTGGGTTGATAAGTTCATCGTTAGGTGGTCTTTCGGAAATATTTGCTCGACCAGGTCCTGCTCCAATTCCTCCAGCTTTTGCTAAACCCTTGGCAATTGCACCTTGTGGTAAAGCATGTTTGCGTGGTTTCATTGGTACCTTTTGACTTTCCTCATTGAACATGGTAGAATGAGTATGTAATTGAAAGTAAAGATAACCAATGTAGACCACCAAAAGAATGACAGAAGTACCACGAGAGATAGCTGCAATTGGAGCATCGGTTGTTTCACTCCATAAATCGAAGGCGGTTGGAACAATGACACTAGCAATAGCCAAGGCCAATAAACTTGCCGCGGTTTGAGCAACGGTTTGATTAAAGAATTGTTCTTCTCTTCGAAGCCCTCCAAAGAAAAAACACATTCCCATGACGAGTAATAAATTGGATAAGATACTACCGACCAAAGAAGTTTGAACAATTAAAACTTCTCCTTTGGCCAAGGCAATAATGGCGACAATCATTTCGACGGCATTCCTAATTAAAGTTAGTAAAGACCATAAGCCACAAGACATAAAGTGAAATTCATCAAACATACCCAAAAGAAGCATTTAATAAACCTCCTAAACTTTCACCAACATGAAGAGCAATTTCTTCAGTAGCAAACCCTAACATAGCTGCCAATGGTATGATAGCAATGAAATTGACCACGAAAATAACAATTCCATTTACCCCACCAGCATAATTGAGTGCAATACCAACTGGTGCAGCGATAAGTAAAATGTTGATCCAAGAATTGAAAATGGTGTTTTGCAATTGACTCCTGAGAGTGAAGGGTTCGTGTTTGATATCCTTTCCTCGAAAAATTCCACCTTTCTTCTTTTTCTCTTCACCATCTACTTCTTCCCTACCCTTCTTGGTAAATCTGCTAAGGAATCTTCTTCGAGCTTTTTCCTCTACACTTGGTTGCCTCGATGATTGTCTCCCAACAATTGTTGCTTCCGTACTTGGATCGCTAGGACGTCCATCATTATTTGTAGCCGACTTTTCTAAATCTTGCATTTCCATTGCGGTACCTGCATTTTGTGAATTGAAAAAAGGTGCTTGACTGGCGGATGATCGTGGTCCATTCTCGGTATTTATCGTTCTTAAACCAGGTTCTTCTAAACCTCTTAAAGCTTCTTCATCGGGAACTTGAGCGGGAAATGTATTACTTCGTCGAGTGGTTTTCGAAAAAGGATTCCATTCTGTTCCTGGACCATGCCATGCTTCTTGTCGCGCCGCTCGTTTTGTTGTATCTAAATTGAACATAATGGTAAGTGTTGACCCGTCAACAATTGAGAAAGAAATAATAAGCCATCAACAATTGAAAAAGGAATCCAAATAATCAAGTATGAATCGTTGATAAGGGCATTGACATGATAATCAATGGCAAACGATGTTAGTGAGAAAAGGAATTTAACTAACAAAGGTTATAATCGTTTGGAGCCATGTTTTGTATTATCAAGTTGACAAACAATGTATGGGGGGGGGGGATTGTTGATTCGAAACTTGACCTTTGCAGGTGGATCTCGAGACTAAATAATGGTCGCGGTCGTGGACGAGGTTGTGGTCGTATAATAAAATAAGGACTAGGTAGGGAGGTAGGGCGGATAAGGTACAGTCAGGCTTTACTCCTGTAGACCCAATTGATGTTGATTCTGGAGTTGCGGCTGATGCTGATGTTGGCGCTTCAATGATTGAAAGAAGGGTGGATGATTGTGAAGAACATGCGATACTTCGTAGAGTTGAATTGAGAAGTGACACCCTTTCTTTTCCAAGTGAGCTGATCGATTTTCCGAGACCAAAGTGATTTCGTTGATTGGAATTGGATGGTTCAGATCTAAGTTTCCAATGCGTCGTCCGTGTACCTAGTAGGTAGTAGTAATTGTTGATTTGTTGATATTTTTTTGGTAGTAATTGTGGTAATTGTGGTAATTGTGATAATAAGATTAATAAATTGTATGGAGTCCTAGTACCTAGGGATTTTTGACCAGGGGGAGTTTAATAAGAGAGCCTTCGTAAGAATAATCCCAAGGACAAGATAGTTATGTACTTCTCGAATAGAAGATTAACGTTTATGTCTTTGAGAGAGGCGAATTCGAATAATGCCTTTTAGGAATTGATTCCTTTCTCGACCTTTTTGCTATTGGTGATGGGCAAATTTCAAGAGGTGGCTTAGATGTCGATGTTGGGATTTGGATTTGAATTTGAATTTGAATTGGATGATCTTTTTTTTATTTTTATCTACGAGGTCGTTCCTAGGATAATTTGCCCCAGAGATTTTGGCTGTGAAGTGAAGTGTGGAAGTGTGGCTGATAGATAGAGCTTTCAGTAGGTAGGTAGGTAGGTAGGTACCCAGGTAGGTCGATTATCTAGAGAAGAGGCTGAGGTCTGATGTGAAATCCTAGGTGGATGTGATGTGGTTTGAAAATATTATGGGTGGTAGAAGAAAGAGATAGAAAGAAGAGGAGAGGAGAGGAGAGAGAAGAGAACGGTTCATAAAACTTCCAAGTGAGTGAAGTGAGTGAAGTGAGCGAGGAGGATTAAAATGTAAATTTCAAGAGGACCTCGGGATCCTTAATGTCTTGGCAAATTTCCTGCAGTCTTCTCTATGCAGGAGGGTAATTGTCTCCTGGTTGGTCAGTTTAGCAGTTCACCAGTTCACCAGTTTATCAGTTTATGATAAATGCTGGATGATGTATGTATATATGTGTATGTTATCGTGGACGACGGGAAGTGATGTTTGATGATGACGATGTAGAGGATCAGAAGATTGTAATTATCCAATGACATGTAGGTAGGTAGGTAGGTAGGTAGGTAGTTTGCGCAAACTCGACTCAATTCGTGGCACCAATGCGATGTGATTGATATCTTTATTGTGACTGTTGGATTGACATTACCGTGAATAATTATATTATATATCTACGGTACTTTACACGGAATCACAATGATAAAAAAATGTTACTATTCACAGAAAATACATTCTTCGAGTCTCGAATCCCAAATCCCACATCCCACATCCCAACCCACATCCCATTCTCAAATCCCTTTAAACATTCAAGCATTTTTACCCCTAAAACCAAGGAATCTTCGACAAGAAAATCAAGATTTCTTATTTCCTTCCAAAATCACCACACCACCACTTAAATCTTGATATGATCATCTTGGCGCATTTAACAAGAGAAGCCAATAATCTTGATTGTAATCAAGCTTCTATCAATGAAAAATTGGCACATGTTAGTTTTGATATCGATAACGACACTTTATTACGGTTGATGTTTGTACTACATTTATATCTACATACCTAGTACATACACTTTACATCGTACCACATACATTTCATTCTCTACCGTTAGCGATACAGAGTCAAAACTTCAATCAATCGATATTATACATCCAAAATATTAAACCAATTCTCAATCAACAATACAATTCCAATCAATTACAAACAAGCGCCCGATTATGTGATGACGACGACAATGATTACCCCTTAAGCCAACACCCCCCCCCCCCCCACATACGAAGTACATGAACGATTCTCCCGGAGGTGCACATCGGTCGCTTCAAACTTGTACTCTATGTTATTTATTACTCTGTGCACATTGCATACATAGGTATTTCCTGAATTTATCTGAATCTGGATCTGTGGTCACTAAAATTTGTGTAGCGACTAACCTCCCTCATTAATCAATGTCGACATCAATTGTATGCGTAGTAAGTATAACACACGGCATGATTCATCACAGAGAGATAGCATATCAAGTTTCAACACATATCAAACCCTCTGAATCATTTCTCAAAATCAAATTCTTCCATCACAAAAATTATCCAGTACTCCGTAGTGTAGTTTCTTCGTCCAAGGTTTATTATCCTCGACTGGGACGAGGATAAACAATACATATCCATTCTATCGTATCCAAACATCCGTCCCATGGTTGGTTTAATAAAGTTTCCACATCGCCATTCCACATAACTTGTCTATAGGCTATCAGTGATAAAAAACAAATTCAACATAGCCACACAACCATTGCGGAAAATCCATTTCATCCGTCCACTTTTGCCCACATCACACAACAACACACACACACACATCACCATATCGCCGTTCAGAATCATCATCCCAGTCATTTCAATTCATCTCCATCAAGATCAAATCATTACACATTCACGTGATACAATACACACACACACATGACACAACTACCGGGAACTACCGAACGCCCTTAAAAGTCGTGACTCGTGGCAAAGACTGAGATCGAATCATATGTACCAGAGAGATGAAACATCATTCTGTACTACTGATAAAGTTTTGTCTCGGGATGCAGATCGTTCCTGTATGAGGAGGTCGGGACCTAAGAATTGTGAAGAAGAAATGGGGGCCAGGAACAGGATGATAAATTTCATGTGATGTGGCTGTGGCTGTGGCTGTAATACTTGTGGATTTATCTGTGGCTGATGAATGACGAGTGGCTAGTACGTACTGTACCTCAGAATCCCATGAAATCAAATCGGTGAGCGGCGAAACTATGGATAAACTGAGCCCAGAGCAGAGAGTACCTCGCATCTCGCATCTCGCATCCATGATCCATTCGCACTACGATACACTGAGTGCACTACACAAATAATAAACCATCCCGTAAGTAACGGTGAGTACCCAGTTATGGATAAGCCGTCTTGCGGGGTTACCTACAAACCCAAACCCAAACCCAAACCCAACCCCAACCCCAAATCAAATCCATGATGAGCTGTACATTGCATCCATCCTCGCCATCGTACGCCGGAAACTCTAGCCTCAGTATCTACGTACTCGATCCATCTAGGTATCTCCACGGACGGACGGTAAGCACTGTACTCTGTACGGTAAGAGCTGGATGGGTATCGAATTCTGACGTGTCAGGCAATCATGCTCGTTTCTCTTTTGAGCATGTTTCGCGATGCGATGGATGACAACGAATCTTTGGTCTTCATTTCTTTCATCGTAATCATAATCAGTCGTAATCTTCTGGCATGGAGTATTCCAAATCTCAGTCATATCCCACATCTTAGTAATAAGTAACTTCACAACGCTCGTGGCGAGGTAAGGCGGATCGGATACAGGCGTGCGCGCGTGCGTGCGTTAACATGACCCGAATCCAGTGCCTTGGGCCGTAAGGCTGTGAATGCGGCTTGGTTAGGGTTGGGTGAGGTTAGGTTGCCTCGTCTTATCTTTTGTTTTCTTTATTTTTGATAGAGGTCTTTTTTGAGGCTTTGTTTGGGCGTGGGATTGTTTGATTTGGGCGTTTCGGATGATAGGTTGGTGGGTTGGTGTTGGAGGGGATTTCAGGCAACATGGTGAAGAGTTTTGGATATTGGGATACCTACCTATGATATTGAATCAGGCGAAGATGAAGTTTATAAGTGAGTGGTGTATGGGGTTTGAGCTTGAGAAGTTTTTTTTTTCCTATGTTAGATTTGATGAATTGAAAGATTTTCCTGTTTTCTAATATTGGAATGTCGAGCAGAGTACCTAGTAGACTTGGAGTAGTTAAACGCTTTTAATTCTCCACGTCCTTTTGGAACTATCGACGAGTTTGTAAACCTTCTGACGTGTTGATTTCATTCCTACTATTCATAAATATAGTTATCGCCATGTTATTCCTCTGTTTCAAGAAATTTCATCAAAATTTCATCAATAATCACATCCCACCATTCTTGTTGTGATTATCCAAAAAAACTCATCAATCATCACCATCAAGATGTATCTCTTTGATAAAAATCAACCATATCCTACATTCGACGTATCACAAGCACATTGCATTTGATTCGGTCTAGAGTCGAGCTGGTTTGAATGTACAGATTTCTAAGGACATCTCATATAAAGTAGAGTGTTTGTAGAATCTCAATCAGAATCAAGAATTAATGAAAGAAGAGTACGAGTGTAATGATTCGATTGTATGGATTTAGTTTATCTGTCCGTAATATGATGTAGGTTGATGAGAACATATCTGAGTACACTATCCTATTCTCCTCTCTGACTTGTATCACGAGACTAACGACCTCATTTCTCAATAGTCTACATGAGTGAGTATAGATGGTTAAATATAAGACGATGAAACCTCAAAGTTTCCGAGTTAGGAATATCTAACTTGCTTTTATATCTCATACTTTTTGATTGATAGACGACTCCGCCTTTTTGATCGTGGCTCGTTTGAACTTCGCCCATTAACATTTTGAAGGGAAAGATACTTGTATGTATGATTCTTTAATTTCACATTGTTCTACAACATAAGCCCCTCTCAAATTTCTTCAGTATCGCCAACTTGAAACCATGTATACTGTGGTACCACAAGCCACAACGCACAAGATCGGATCGGATGAGATAAAAAACATGTTTCATTCTCGAGTCTTCATGATATCATTGTAGTTTAATCAAACCGGAAATTTCTCTCTTTGCATCGAATAGGAGTGTTCTGTTTATCGGATATGATTCGTAGTAGATAGTTACATATTCTTTCTCGATACTCAGGAGAAGTACCGAAGTACCTAGGTACTTCATGATACTACCTAATAAGTACATGATTCTTATACACAAAACATTAGTATTCCATAACCATCTCTAAATATCTGCAAGTGCGGCTTGGAAATATTCACCAAATCTTAAAAAGTATTCACAACATAGCCTTTTCTATATATAGATATCCAATGTCAATCATATAAACCTCAACAAAATCGATAAGTTTTTATACTATCGTCTCAAATCACCACTTTTCGTCAAATGTTCATGACAGCCACCAAAAAGATTCATTGAGAAGGCTGTGGTATGGACTTCAAAAAGACTACGGTATCAACCTCAGGGCTTAGCATAGAACCCCTACGAACTTTCAGTGGTTTTGAAAGGTTATATAGTTTCCTCGTCCCTTTACCCAAAGAGATTTTAATCTGCAATACACACAACATACAACGCATACACAGCTTACACAATACAGTTGAAACCGAAAAATCTCTTCCTACACATCGTTACTACAATTCCAAAACAACTGCCAAGTTCTCTAGACTTTATCAAATCTTCTTCATCATGATGAAGTTTGTTCTTCTTCTTTTCTTCCTTACCACCATCTTAGCTCAATGTCCCGAGCAATCTGAAGCCGGTCGAAGACTTTATCGTTGTGTCAATACAACCAGTGGTCAAGTTGCCGGTCATCCATCTCCTAAGAAACCAGCCGTTTATGAGTATCTTGGTATTCCATTCGCACAACCTCCAATTCGTGATTTAAGATTTGCTCCTCCACAGCCATTTATTGGAAATGAACCTCTTAATGGTACAAACTTTGTGGGTTTACTTATCTTTGGTGTACCTTTCAATCATTCAATACTAATAATCATTAGGGTTATACTTGTCCGAAGCAATTCTCAGATGAACTTTCACTTATCCCATCAAACTTCCCAGATGTAGTCGATAATTACACAGCTTCTGGTATTGTTGTCCTCGATACCTTTACTCAAGCAGGTGATGGACCTAGAAACAATGAAGATTGTTTAACACTCAACGTATGGGTTCCCAAACCAGCTCAAGCACCAGATGTTGGATCAAAAAAAGCAGTCATGATTTGGATTTATGGTGGTGCTTTTAGAGATGGTGCTACTGAATCTCATATTTATGATGGTTCAACTTTTGTGGATCAGGAAGATGTAATTATGGTTAGCATCAAGTAAGTTTATCTTTCAGTCATGATTAATTCGACCGTCTGACTAACAATTCAAAGTTACCGTGTAAATATCTTTGGTTTCTCTGGTGATTCAACAGGTCCGACAAGTAATTATGGAATGCTCGATCAAAGATTAGCTATCGAATGGGTTTATAATAACATTGCCAATTTTGGTGGCGATCCATCGCGTGTTACTCTCTTTGGTCAATCAGCAGGAAGTTGTTCTATCGATTATTATTCCTACGCTTATCCACGAGATCCCATCGTCTCCGCTATGATCATGCAATCCGGTACCATCCCCGCTCTTCCCACATTCTCCTCTTCCGAAGCCTTTTCATCTTGGCAAAATACCACCTCATCCCTCGGTTGCGGTGATGCATCCGTCGACCCTGATTCCGTCATGCAATGCATGCGCAACCCCAATCTCACCACATCCGACATTCTCAAAGTCGCTCATCTCTACACCTGGCTCCCCTCCATCGACGAAACCCTCGTTTTCTCCGATTATCCCGCTCGCGCCGCCGCAGGAAATGTCACAACCCTTCCCCTCCTCATCGGAAACACCGATAACGAAGCCGCTGTCTTCGCTGCTCAATCCCTCATGTCCGGTAACCCAGTCGATATCTCCCAAATGACCAATTCCACTTTCGCCTGTCCTACTGCCGCACGCGCAAATCTTAGTGTTTCCTCTGGCGCAAAAACATGGAGATATCGTTATTTCGGGGATTTCCCAAATTTGCAATTACAGAAAGGTGTAGATGCCGGAGCTTATCATATTAGTGATGTGTATAGTGTTTTTGGAACATGGCCCACGGGAAAAGGTATCACGGGCGCGGGAAAAGAACAAGTTTCGTTGGGAATGTATATGAGAGGTGCTTGGGCGGCTTTTGCAAAGGATAGTGAGGAGGGTTTGAGTAATTATGGATGGCCAGTTTATAAGCCTGAGGAGGATACGGTTGTTAGATTGGGATGGAAGAATTCGGTGGCTTTGGTTTTGGATAGTGCGGAGGTTTGGGATAGTACTTGTTGATTTGAGGATATTTGATGAGGTTCTTTCTGAGATGTTTGGGGGATTCGGTTGTGTCTACTGGATGGGATTAAATCAAGTTCGATTTCAAATTTCATGAAAAGTAGAGGCAAGGTTTAGGATAATGGGAGATGGAGAATTGATTGCGATGGATTTATTAGAGGTCATGATTCCACGTGTTTATTTGTTTATTTTGTCGTCTCATGAGATGGCGATGAACATACCTAATACATAAGATATTTCTAAACTTACCTTACTGAGATCCTGCTATAATTTGAATGTGATATTTTATGTTTTCTGGTTCCGGAATCTTGTATATCCATACCCATGATTTATATCCTCGGCAGCTCAATATCTACTTCCATCTATCTTGATAATAAATTAAAATTTACATTGGGATAAAAATACAGGGCCTAACACAACATTGTTAATTCATGTTCTCACTCATCATACTTAAAGTGATGACACTTCTAATTTTCCATACATTTTTTTCTCTTTGCTATAAAAACAACACATGGAAACAGAATTCCGTTATTCAACACTACCACTAATTCATTCACACCGTATAGTAAAGTTCAAATTAAGATGCTCACTAGTATCATCATCACCCCTCACATTCCCCCTTTCCCCAACCAATTCTCCCGTATCCAGATAACAATTACAAAATCCAAGCTGTAAATTATAAAAAATCTCCACACTCACTATCTTCGGATTCCCAAGTTGATTCTTATGCTGCGCAAGTAACCATCCAATACCTTTTCCATTTGGTGTTCCCAAAATTGCGGCTTCATATCCTTTAGAATCATTAGTATCGATTTTCAATCCATCTGGTGGACATGTTATTTTTTCTTCTTTGAGAATCTCTTTGATTACTGATCTTGTTTCGGAACTGGTGATGTGGGATCGGATTATGTGTTTGAGATTTTTGAGGGGGTGGATGTTTTAGTACATTGTGGTGTCATGAGAGATAGGTTATCGGACCATGTCTGGAGTGTAGTTATTGATATTTTATCTACTGGCTCGTCTGCTACTTTTGCCTTTGATTGTTGAGTAAAGTAGGGTGACCTTGAATCGGTGGCAATTATCATTCCGCCCTGAAAGATTTATGTGTTAATTAACTTTCAGAATCTCTAGGTGTTTCATAACTCAATTCTAGAACGCCACTAAAATGCCTCCTCCGGATTTGATACTTGAATACCCATGACAAACCCTTGCGTGAGTTTTATTAGAAATAACCTTACCTTTGTATTCATGGCGTAGTAGTAATGACCGTCCTTATTCTATCTTCGGCTAGTTTATATGTTTTATAACGCTATTCTAATTTGATCAAGTAAATTTGGAGGTAGAATAATATAGAATCAAAAGTATCATCAAGTATGAATTTTTCGCTTCGGGAAAGGGGTTTATCGATTCTATGTCCACCACTTATGAACCCAATGTAAATTCTACCGCAAAAACCCTCAAAGTAAAAGAAAATAAGAAACAACCACGTTCTTAGTTTTCTTTTTCCCAAAAGGAGTAAATTTATAATATCAATGGTAAATCTCAAATTATGCCTTTCACTCAAAAGAATCACAGTAGATAACTTGCCCCAGAAGACTGACTCATCATACCATCAGTTTTACCAAAATGCGTAGTCAAGATCCCAGCCCAATTCTCTCTAAAATTCGAATTGATAATTTCTCTTACATGCTCCAAGATATGGAATGCGGATATTACTTCAGTGCGATTTCTTTCAATAACTCAATCATTTTCTTCTCTTGATTCTGATCTGTTGAAAATGCTTTGAATTGGATTATTGACTTGGGTATTGTCATTATGAGAGATTCTTTGAAGCATTAGTCGACCTGCAACTTTAGCTTTTGAGAATGCGTCCATAATCTTGAGGTGAGTATGGTAGCCGTAGGGGGTATGTGATAAATGGTGAATGTAAGTAATTAGGAGGGGAAATTCTAGTTTCCATAGTAGAATATAGGCTAGTTTTATAGCCGTGGATATTTTATTTCTGTTTGCTCGAGTTTTCTAATTTTGTTATGAGAGCAAGTCACCTCCTAATTTGAATCGTTCGAATACTAATGTCTCGTGAGTAGATAGACAATAACGGAAAAAGCCCCATAGATATTCGAGATGTAATGTCAAGTGAAATTCTTAGAGGGTGAATCAGTTCAATATCAATTCGAGTGATTATTTTAAGGCTTAGAGAATGTATTCCTATATTAATAACGCGATTCACTCATGCGCCACTATCTTTTGGAGTAATCTTTCACTTTTTTTCCATCTAATCTCTACTTGTCTCAATCTGATATCCTAGATAGGAGGTTGATCCCTAAAAATTACCTTCAACACTATGATTCTGTTTCATACCTAGCCGTATCACGTCATTTTCTTATCAAAAACAGTGAATAGAGCAGTTTCGAGGGAAGTGGAATCGGGCTAAATGATTCACGTAAAATCAAAGCTAGCTCTTAAACTCTTGGTCTACTCAAAATATCTCTCTTCAGTTTCCTTTTTTTCTTCTCCTCTTCTTCCTTCCTTTAAGCAATCATGTCGAATTCTCAAATGGAGGCCATGTTGGCGGATATCGATCAAGTATGTGTATTCCTCTCTTTTCTTTTCGCTCATTCAATCATCTTTCATTATCATTCATATTTCTTTCTTCTTACAGATTTATGATCATTACTTAGTCATACAATTTTGTTAAGTCTATGTTGAAACAACGTGTAAAGTCATCCCATCCGATTGGCTCGGTTGGAGCACAGACTTGTTTACTTCATCCCTCAGCCATCTCAACTTCAATTAGACTTGATTAAACAATACTAATTTGTTTATGTAGTCTATTATTGATAATTACTATCAACGAGTTTTAGAGGTGATGAAAGGTAATAGGAATCCTAGTGGTAAGTTTGACTGATTTCAAACTTTTTTTTTGTGACTTCAAATGACTTCTGATGGATCATTTCATGCTTAGTAGCACCTTCAATACACTCAAGGAAGTAGCTCAAACTTCTTTTCTTCTACTCAACATACTCCAGCATATTTAACATCAGTTTCATTTATTCCATTCATGATGTTTCCCACCATACCTACTGTCTATTTATTCTCTGGACTACCATCTTACACTCCTTGGAAACCCAAGAAGCGATAACATTATCTTTTGATTGCGAATTAAGAACTATCTGTGGTTGTTCTATCTCAGAGGTCTTCTAGTTCTTGAATTCCTCTCCAGTCCTCCTAAATCAATTCCCTTGATTTTCAAAGCAAGGCTATTCCTCAAAGTCTAGGAAGATCTCCTAGATGATAGCTCATGGTCTTGTTTCTTGAAAGATTTCAAATCTAGTTGGCCACTGAATGATACAAATTATTGTATGCTTCTGTCATTCAGATGTCCAGTACCTACCTGACCTCCTCTTGAAAGGGCGATGAGAAACCCTCAAGAAACCACCCAAAACTACTCATCCCTTGTTCTTCTTATATTTGTCTTGAGGATAGTATAAATTTTGTGCTCTTGTACTACTCTATTTTTTATTGCTTAAATCAGTTCTTGAAGACAATACGTAGATGATGTTATTGAACAACAACTTAACAACATCACATCTTCATATCCTCGAATCTTCTTTTGTGAGCAGTCCACATTTGTCATTCTTAAGAGAGACTTTGATTCTTCCTATCTCGGCCAAACTCCATATACTGCATCATTTCATGTATTGATTCATCAATCATCCCACAATCTCTTATTCACTACTCAATAATTATCTCTACCACAGACTCCTCTTCACCTTCACCTTCGCCGTAATCAACTCTGCCCTGCCATCAAGTTCATCTCACCGCCTTCCCATTCCTTTATATTCAACCTCGAACTTCCAAACCCGACTTTTTCTCTTCTACCAAACTGACTTTTCATCTTCTTCCAAACAAAGTTGTAGTAAATCCTACAACTCCAGAACCTTTATTCGAAACCCATGGTGAGTGAGTTCTATGACTCAATTACCCAACATCCAAACCTTCTTATCTAAAATATCGACAGCTCTCACCATGGCAAACTCTCCTTACTTAATGTGCGAACCAATGTACCTGGGTGAAGAACGCTTTCAACGATGGCCGTCCCCTGCCAATCATGCTGGTCCTCAATTCCTCACATTCTGTTTCGCAATCTTAAAATATCGCGACAATCAACCTCCATTCACTATTGACTTTCCCTCGGATCTTTACCGCGATCTCAAGAAATCACAAAGAATCCGCGACAAAATGCCAGATGTCAACCTCGCAGATACGTCCGAAGATAATTTTATGGATGATATTCCTTGGCCCGACTATCATCATATTGAGATCCCGCCAATATCTGAAGATCAACTGGAAAGTATTGGGTACCATATCGACTTATTGGAACCCGAACTCCTTGGTCCGATTAAAGGTCCTACAATGAGTGATGAGGATTTCATCTTTCAAAAGCTTAATTTGAAACAAAAGAGAACAAAAGAAGAGCCTTTTGAAGATATTCCCTATATTTTATTTGAGCATAAATTCTTCGAGGCAAGAGTTCAAAGTTTTGAGTCTGCGATAAGGTAATTTGAACTTTAGATTCTAATTTCAAATTCTATTATTCTTCGAAACTGACATTTACATTTGAATAGAGCTGGAGAAGGACCACAAATACCAGTATGGGCACATCAAACTTTCGAGATTTTTGAAGAAGAAGAGGTAAGTCTTTCATCTCCATAGATATCTCTTTTCATCCTTCCTCATTCCATACTCATGAGTCGCAACAATATAGACTGACACCTGAATTCCAGATGGCTGTATCAGACCGTCAGCAGATTGAAAAAGGCCTTCGAAGCTACGATGCTACCTACCGTGCAAATTACCTTAACCCCGATCTTGTACCCGAAAAGAAATTAGGTTCATCAAAAAAATCAGGTGCTATGACGAACTGGTATCGAAAAGGTCCTATAGGAAGTGGTCGAAAACCTCCACCAAAACCACGACAAGATGTTGCAGAGAGCATTTCTCAAGATCATATATGGCTTCTCCAACAAGATAATATAGCCCGAGCCAAAGATAATGAAGATATTGAGATGAGTGGAATGAGTGTTAGTGGTGGAGGGAGTATCGTTGGTGTGGAAGCTATCGGCGGAATGAATGCTACAATCAATGCTCCTGATCCTTCCGAATTGAATTCTGGATTCGATCAAATGAGTACTACACAAGGTGCTCCTGGTCCTTGGGGATACAAGTCTAGCTCTGTTGGTGCGTATAATGCTCCTACTGCAGAATACAACTATCATGCCAGTACCGCCAGCAATGGTGCCGGTCCTTCTGGATATAATTCTGGAGCCACTTCAAGGATTGTCCCCGTCAATACATCAACTAATATCCCCGTCAATACATCAACTACTATCGCCAATAATACACCAGACTCTCTGATGTACAATTCTGGAATTGTTTCAAGCACCGCCCCTATCAGTACGCCAATGGCTTCCATTAATAGTACGCCAAACCCTCCAGTATACAACTTTGGTTCCGGTGCAAAGAACGTTGCAAACACTGCATCAGGTCCTTCTGGGTGTAATTCTGGGATTATCGGAAGTAATATTCCTAGCAGCACGAAAGTTCCTTCGGGATATACTTCTGGACCTAGCATAAACACCACAATTAATACTTCAGCAATCCCTTCTGGACAGAAAACCTTGTCAGCTCCAACTCCAAGTGATACAATCAGTACAAGAGGAATAGCTGGAACGACTACCTTGAGGGACTCTTCTCATCCTATTCCAGATTATAATCAAGGATATGCTAAATCTTTGGTCGAGCCCGTCAGACATAATTATGCGAACTCTTACCCCACACATGCTACCTCTAACCCACCCAACATAAATCCTCGCAACACCATCGAAGTCCAATATCAAGGCATTACTCACCAACCCAATCTTTCCACTGCAGCCGCATCCGTATCCGCATTCGCACCCGCACTGGCATCGGCAAGCGAAGAAATCCTTCAAACACCATCTACAAGCCAGGAGCCCGACATGGAGAGCCTCCTTGCCATCAACAAAAGGATGGCTGCAAGAGATGAAAAAGATGAAGACTGGCAACCAAGTCAAAAACCAAAACCAAAAGCCACCAGAAGGACCGCTATTTCTAAAGCTGCCACTGCCAATCCGACCACACCCAAGGTAACAGTTCGTAAAACTGCTACTCCCAGAACTAGGAAGCCAAAGGGCGTTGATGCCAATGTCGCTAATCCTATGGCTATCACCTCTACAGCTATCAATCCCACAGTTGAAACACCCAACCTCATCAAGCCAGCTACCGTTGTGAAAACTAGAAATTCTAGAGCTGTTACTCCAAGAACTGTCGGACCCAGGTCTGCTGCAATCAAGGCTACTGGTCCCAGAACTGCTACTACTAGGAATTCGACTCCAAAGACTGCAAATACTAGGAGCGCAACTCCCAGAGCTAATTCTAAGTCCAACGCCCCCAAGCCTTCCGAGTCTACCTCAACCCCGAGTCTCAAACCACCCGTCACCAGAAAATCCTCTCTCAAAAAGAGTATTTCGAGAGACAGTGCCGACGGCACATGGGAGCCTGAAGATGAAGATTTATAAGCAAGAAATTTACCTTCATTGTTTTTGCCTTCTCTATCTCTTACTCTTCCTCTTGAAAATTATTTCTTCGAATCTGGTGCTTCATTTTGAGGTTTCGATGATATGATATCCTACTTTGGTTTGCATTGGACGTGGATGGATTTTGTATTTTTTTTTGCAAGGCGTTGGATTGATGAAAGGAAGGATAGAAGGAAGAAATAAAGAAAGGCCTGATATAGAGAATCAGTTCATGAGTTGGTGGGGAGTCTTTTAAGCAAGCACTACCCACGTACCTACTTAATGCGGCTGACCTGCTCGGCTTTTGGTGATAAACCTTCCAAGGATAGTGTTGAGGAAAACCTTTTTTACTTGTTTCTTTCCTTTCCTTAGATGGATAGATATCTTGATTCCTCAGAAACTCTATTGGAGATGAAAAAAGATGAGATAAAATCAAACTAATACATAGATAGACCTCGCATATGAGAAGAACTAACAATGATTTCCCAAACACCCATGGCATCGTAAACACTTAAGAAATATGTGTTCTTGCGTTACTTCAAGTAAAAATGGGATGATTGACTTCTTAAGAAACTATCTCAAGATGATAAGGATGGAAAAATTAGTTTATTGCTTTCGTCTTTCCCCTTCTTTCTATCAATTTATGAAGTCACCATGTGACCATCTATTCCGGTTCCCATTACCACCCAGCCCCAATTTATCACCATAATCAATTATATGATCGAAAGTTTCCCCTTCCGTACCGTCAAGACCCCATCCCGTAATAATATTGATAATATAACAATAATCCAACACCCCCCACCCACCCACCCATCCATCCAATCCATATAACCCCAAAACAACAACCATAACCATCCTACCCACCCACCCAACCAATACCTATCGTACACCAACGCATAATCATACAAGTGACCCCAACCACCCTACCAATCTTCATCACCACCCATCCACCTCAATTCCCATACATACACCCTCTACTAGCTCTCCTCGCATGATAAACCACACTCCTCCCAATTCCACACCCATGAGATCCCGTCCTCGAATTTGATTCCGAGATATCTGAATCGTAACATCGATTTAGATTCGCATAGTGATTATCTGAAACGACGGCTGTTGATGCAATAGCTTTTTCCTTCATGAGTGATATTCTGTCAAGATGTTATGAGGATTTGGAGGTATTGAAAGAGATTTGAGAAGTGGGAAGGCTAACTTACTCATCCTCGGAATAGCCGGGGAGATTTACTGCTGGTCCTTCTTGAAAATTGAAGGGTGCGCTCTGTAATGACCATGTTAGAGATATTACAATGCTGAATTCAGATATGATCAGATACTTACTATAGATAAAGGTTTAGGTGTTTTTGATTTTAATCCCAAGGTTTCAGCACATTTGTTACTGAATTTTAAGAGTGTAGCTTTGAGGTGTATGCAGGACATGTTGATAAGGGATTGAATTGAGATTGAGATGAAAGTATGTGCGTATATAAATATATATATCTTGTGATGTCTAACGATAAGTTATTGTTATATTGGTAATTGAAGGTCCTCGTGATGATATATTGTAGATTGAGAACGAGAATAAAAATGTAAGGCAGACGCGCCTTTCTGAAACGATGAATATGCAAGATATTGAAAGACGCGTGATTGAGGAATGACTGTAATTAATGACACAAGAAAATAAATGAAAGAATGATTGTTGTGTTGCTGACTATAAAAAGAAGTAGAAGAAGAAGAATTGCTGAAGAGCTGTCTGCCAATATCTCGAATAACAAGACTGGCGATGATTGAACAAGATATATGAGAAAACATGATTGAGGAGAGGAAAATAAATTGATGAATATAAATCACCAGTTTGCTGTCAAGGGCAACGATACTATCAAATGAGAAATTACACAGAGTCAGTACTACAATTAGTACTACTTCGGGTGCATCAAAATTCCCATTCTTTGGTACGCCTCAAAGTAACGGCAATCCGGCGACGTAACGTGGCGGATTCCTTACTCCAAAACTTGAAGGAAATGAGAAGTTTCCCTTGATTAATCCCTTATCAGATGAGGGCCCTTCTGGAATGTTGATGATCAAGATGTATCGCTTCTTTCCCACTAAATCTATCAAAGGGGGGTTAACGAGCTGAACAAGTTTAATGTCAAAAGAAATACTAGATACTTAGCAAGTACATAGTAGATAGACAATTCAAGTCAGTAACACCATACAATAATACTACGTGGGTAATAATAGTAATAAATAAATAAATATATGAAATTCTCCTCGATTCATCAACGTGACTAAATTGACTTGAAGTAAATTGATGAATTACATAAATTCCCCTTCAATAATTATGATGTACAGATTCAAATCAAGGAGGCACGGAATGTCGCCCCAAGGACATACCCGGAATAAGGGAAAAGCGTGGAAATGTGAGGGAGCACAACAGGAAGATAGGAATTAGGAAGGGTTGATCATGTGATTAACTTTTCAAAAGAATTCCCCCTTCCAATGATTTCGCAGTAAGGCTTATTACTAGTAATCTTCACCCATTTCTCAATTGTCATGTCCAATCAATTGGTTCCCTTGCGTTACCTTGGAAAATGGATCAACAAGAATTCTTCGAGATTGTATCACTAATAAAATGTGCATATTGCTTGGCTAAAAATTGATATCTGTGTTCCAATGGCGTAGAAGCGCCTTGGCCCATCAATGCCAGAATGACATTCGACATGTGTAGAACTTGATCATCAAAAAATAATTTCAGCGCCGTGGAAAAAGATAATGTATATTCGTCATTCGTCTATATCAAATCCTTCAATCGCTTATTTCTACTTGAATGCTCCTTGTTGACGAGGACTTATCGATTTGTGGCTATGATTCCTGGTGTCAAAATACTCAAAAGTCGTTCGAGAGTTCCGTACTACAAGCACACATGTGTAGAAGTAATACTTAAAAGCCCTTATTTAGGGTAATCCTTCAAGTGGTAACTCTTCAGCTTGACGAATTGTTCAAAGCCAAATTTACTTAGAGTGACGCCCCTTCCGGAATTTTTCCATCCAGTCCATGCAAGGTCCTATCAATAATTATGAGCCGTGTTCATGTACATCATTAAAGGGTAAAAGTAACTTACAGGGCTTGGATAATCACATCTGTTCACAAAGACAGTTCCAGCCTCTACATCTTCAGCTAATTCGGCTGCTTTTGCCGTGTCTTTTGTCCAAATTGAGGCGGTTAAGCCAAACTCACTGTCATTCATGAGTTTGATGGCCTCTTCGTCATTCTTTACTTTCATCACGGGAATGACTGGACCGAAAGTTTCCTCAGTCATCACAGTCATACTATGATCAACATTAACAAGCAATGTAGGTTTAACGTAGTTGCCTTCTGAGGGAGGAGACTTGAAGGTTTCATTCTCGGGCGTGAGATCCTTGGCACCCTTATCTAATGCATCCTTGATATGTGCCTCGATCGTTTCCTTTGACCTCTTTGAGACGACGGGACCGACATGCTGCATAAGCAAGTAGTAAGTATTTAGCCAGCGATAATTGTGTGTGAGGTACTTGCCGTTTCCTTATTGAAAGGGTCACCTAATTTGTAGTTCTTCAAGACACTTTGCAACGCCTCAATGAATTCATCATGGATCTTCTCATCAACATAGATTCTTTCCAAGCTACAACAACTTTGACCCGAGTTGAAGACAGCTCCATCGACGATCTCCTCCGCTGCCCACGCTACATCAACATCACCTCTTACGTATGCGGGATCTTTGCCACCAAGTTCGAGTCCAACATTCACAATTCTGTCTGCTGCTGCCTTAGCTGTGGCCAAACCACCAGCTACAGATCCAGTGAAGCACACGAGAGCTACTTGTGGATCTCTAACAATAGATTCGATAATGAGGGGGGAGCCGCAATGGAAATATTGGATGACATTATCTGGAAGGCCAGCCTCAGAAAAGATGGATGCCATGTGTTCAACAATTGTAGGTGTCTGCGGAGATGGCTTGAGAATGACCGAGTTACCAGCGAGGAGAGCAGGTATCAGAGAGTTGACGAGAATGAGATAGGGGTACTGAAAACATCGAGTTAGCCAGAGAAATGAGGGCCAGGAAAACAAAACTTACGTTCCATGCAAAGAGAATGAGACATGGTCCAACTGGCACCTTTCGAATGAATCTCTTGAATCCTTTCTCCGCTTCTCCATCTGTATCTTTCAATGCATCCTCACTAATCTTCAAAAGGTATTCGCCCCTCTTCACAGCTGTGGTAACTTCTTTCGCAGTATAGGCAATGGGTCGACCCATTTGTTCCGTTAACTCCTTCGCCAATTCATCTTGCTTATCGTTCAAGAGCTTAAGGGCTTTCTTCACGATGTCTTGGCGTTCTTTCAATGAAGTCTTACGATATTTTAAGAAAGCTTCAGTGGCAGTGATGGGCAATTGCTGTAAATCTTCCGCAGAGATTCCAATTCTAGTCAAGACAGGCTTGTTGGTGATAGGAGAAATGGTAGTGATTGTTTCGACGGACATTTTGAATGATATGTGTCTTCTTAAAATTGATTAAAATTCAACACAACAAACAACAATGGCAATGACAATGACAATGAAACTCTTCTTATGTTGCAGATTTATTTCTAGTGGGGTGGTGGGATAAAGATAATCAAGCAAAGCTATCAGTGACGCCCACTTACCGGTATCGCTATGCGTCAATATCATGACAGGATGTAACAGGGGTTCCGATACATTATAAGCAAGCGGCTAAAGATTTTTAACTTTTTGTTAATTCACCACCACTACCACCACCCCAAAAAATTGATAAGTGATCCTGGTCAAAATTGACAATTCTTTACAATCCGAATTTCTTCCAATTTATCAATCAAGCTATTCGACCGACCAAGTAATAAGTCAATCGATCCATCAATCAGTCAGTCGGTCAATCAATCAATCAATCAAAAGAATGGCGACGAGAAAGCACAATGATTTCCTAGATTTGGAGGAGAGTGACGGAGACGAGAGTCAAGGATATAACTCGGAAGCAGAGGATCTCAAAAAGGGAGGCAGAAGTTTAAAGAGGAGAAAGGTTGATGACGATCAAAGCGATGAAGAAGATATCGAAGAGAATAGCGATCAAGAAGAACAAGGCTCCAAGGACGATAGAATCGAAGAAGCTTCGAAAGAGACCGAATCGAAATCAGAATCGAAATCGAAACCAAAGAATACCTCGAAAGAATTGGAATTACCAGGAATTTCAAGGCCTCTCACCAAGAAAAATCTTGTCGCAAGTGCTGCTGCCATCAAAAAATCCGGTGTTGTCTATCTTTCCCGAATACCACCTTTCATGAAGCCAACAAAATTAAGATCACTCCTTGAACCATACGGTGAAATCAATCGCATATTCATGACACCTGAAGATCCAGCTTCGCACACAAGACGAGTTCGCAATGGAGGAAACAAGAAGCGATCATTTGTGGATGGATGGGTAGAATTTGTCAATAAAGCGGATGCCAAGAAAGTGTGCGAATTATTGAATGCGAATACAATTGGAGGCAAAAAGGGAAACTATTATCATGACGATGTATGGAATCTCCTATATTTGAAGGGTTTCAAATGGAACAACTTGACGGAACAAATTGCGGCGGAAAATGCGGAAAGAAACAGCAGAATGAGAGCCGAAATCAGCAAAACGACAAAGGAGAATAAGGAATACGTACAAAATGTTGAACGTGCGAAGATACAGGAGGGAATGGAAGCTAAGAAGGCTGCAAAGAAGAGGAAGGATGGTGATGATGCCGATGTCTCAAAGGATGAAGATGTGGAAGCAAAGAAGCAGAAGAAGGATGCTAATAGACCAATGCGCTTCAAGCAAAATGCTCCAGCATTGAAGAACAAGACTCAGAGTCAACCAGAACAGGTGAAGAGGGTTTTGAGTAAGATTTTCTAGACTAATAAAATATACCGTGAAGGGAGCATCGCATCTACATAATTCAACTATCCCCATGTTGGCCTTCTCAATGAACTAAAGAAAGCTTCTAATAATTTCAACAAATACATGTTATGCTCCCTTGTCAACCACCCTTCAATCATTTCTTGTGCGGCTTCATCAACTGCTTTTCCAAAAGCGTCAAAGTTTCTTCTCAATCCTTCCACATTAATATTCCTTCCCGAAGCAGCAGCATTCTTTTCCAATTTTTCCACTTGTATCTCAGCCATTGCCCGCCATGTCTCAATAGCTTGAAGATTATCATCCAAACTTTGAACAAGCTCAGCATTAAAGGTAGCCTTCTTTCTCAACTTTTCATATTGTTCCAAATCTATTCGAAATCCAGGAAGATGCATTTCCGCATCTCTCCAGATGATTCTCAAGACGCTATGAGCAGTAGGTTGACTATATAAAGGACTTGCTAGATGCGTAGTCCATTCATGAATTGTTGCAGCCGCTCGTCTTTCTTGATCTGGTCGGTAGCATCGTGGATCTCTTTTTGCAATGATTCCAGTGCGAACTTGGCGGGCCAGAATTTCTCCTTGATCTTTAAACTCGAGCCAACCTGGCGGAAGTGGACCACGAGTTGGATTTAGTTTTGTTCTTTCATTTGTTGCGATGTTGTAGTAGAATTTTGACCCATCGCAACATTGTCTTTGCTCCCACCATTCGGGGTTGGATAATGTGGCGATGGTCATTGGATGGATTGTAGTGATAGTTATTCTTGTTATTATATTCTTCCCGTCGTAGTAATTGAATGATTGAATATCATTCTAGATCGGTCGTTGCGTTCTTTTTATATCTGGTCTTCACCAGCTGAATGTTGCTCCAAAATCATTCAATTTCACTCATAGTTTCTCAATAATATTGTACTGACGAAGAAACAATCACAGAACCAGATATATTGGCCTTCTCGAAAGACTAGCATCCCATATCTTTATCAGTCATAGTCAATTATATATCTGATTTCACGATGCGTAAGTTGCTGTCATTCCTTCTCTCATTTATCAAGGCTATCAATCATTCCTCCATCAGATGATGACATTGATATTTTACATTTTGGAGATGATAGATGTCTAGTCAGCTTCTTGTTTATGTACATGTCATTCCACAATATCTCACTTCACTTGATGTATTTCCGAACAAAATCTTGTCACCACATTCCAGAGGAAAACGAATATTGAATCACAAGCAAAAGGGATAGGATGCAATCTTAATCTCAATACACATAACAGTCCGAGTCTATCTTCTATGATGTTCTAGTCCAGGCGTCCTTTCGACTCCCCAACTTCTAGAAGCAAAATACCCCATTATCTGAATACAAAGCCTCCTAAAACTTCTCCTGTAGATTCCTCCCTCCCTCTCCTCACCATCCTCTCATCCTGTAACTTCCCAACAACAGCATTCACAGAATTCAATTCCTTCACCAAAAATCCAAGCACATCTTTCCCTAATTTCACTCTCATCTTCTCTCCATGTTTACACCATACATAATAGTCTTCTCTTGCCTTTCTAGCCTCTTTCCTACTCCTCTCTACTTCTTCCCAGAAGCTTTCGAGATGACCCATCGGTATCGGAAGTACACATCTGGATTTTATGTACTTCATAAGATCTTCATCTGCTTTATTGATACAGTAGAAATATCTCTCGCGCGCTTTTTTGGTGCCTTCGACTGCCTTTTCTATCTCGGTGAAGAGATCTGAGGGAGGTGTGATGGGTGAAAGACGATGGAATGTTGGTATATCCTGTCTCGCTTGTTCTCTGACTCTTGGACGGTCATGACGTTGATGGTATCCGCGGTCTCCCATTTGGTTTATTTTGGTTGGTGTTTTTGATTGGAGTTGTGTTTGGGTTCTTTAGTGTGCTGACACTGAAAAGATAATTATGTCTTGATGATTTTGTATTCATTATATGCTTTTATTTTGGTTGCATTATCAAGAAAATAGATGTGTATGATTGAATTGTGGGATGGGATATTATGACAATGTTAAATTCGTGGCTGCTTTTTCGAATAGTGTTCGCCAACGCATAAGGAATCATTAGTAGTATGGAAGGATGTTGGGGAGAGGGGGCTTACAGTTAATTTCAGAAAGCTCAATAAGACTATATATATCACATAACGAGACTTTTAAGGCTTAATACAGTGCTTTTACCGAGGTTTCAAAACCTACTAATCATTATTCCGACTTGATGAATTATTGATTCGCCAAAAAAATTGTATTATCATTTACCCGAACTCTCATGTCTATTTCCCCTTCACTTAGCCCAAGTAACCTCAATCCCTTCTCACCACTCCTACGACCTTTCTCAATATTCCCTAGCAATTCTTTTCTGATCCTGAGCTTTTCTAAATGCATTTCTAAACCGCACTTGTCTCTGATCAACTTTCTTCTGAAACTCCTCAGAATCGTTCTTCATGCCTTTATAATAATTTTCTACATCTGTCCACCACATTCTACTACTGAGATCCGATGCTTCTAGTTCTCCCTCCATTTTATGAATTTCTCCCTCGAGATACATGACTCTTCTTTTTAGCTGTTCGTATGTCATTTGATGGGAAATTCTTGTATGAGGATTCGCGGGGATCCTGTGGCTGTTTGACGAATTATACCAATCTTGTTGCGAGTGATTGTAAGAGGACCCTGAGCTTGAAAATCCTCCCATTTGGTCTTCTTTTGTTTTATTTACTCGAGGCTTTCGAGAAGGATAGTACTATATTCATAGAAATGTGGTGATTTTCGACTTGTAGTATATATTACCATCATTCAAAGTTTGCTGGTCCAAGTCATGATGATTGTAATACTATCTAATGAACATTGATATGTCACATATTGACAGATTATAGTCACTTTACAAACAACCTTACGAATTAATCTTCGAGTTTGTCTATGAATCATTCATGGAGCGTATATACAGCAAATAAGCTTTCCTTCCACATACAAGGAGTCTAATAATTCACGAGTCATTCTATCAGTCCGTAGCTAGTCCAGTCAAATCATTTGTCAAATACTGAATTTTTATTTCATAATCTACTTCAAGATATTAATTATCTATTCCACAGTCAAAGTCCGGTCATTTGAATTCGTGTTACGAATCACTCGTGCACAAGACCTAGAGCTTAGCTTCCATAATTGATCGATTCGCTAAGGGATTACAAATTTTCCTACCAGCGATCATCCAAAATTTTACTTCTATAATTTCCCACTCATTTACCCCATTCACCTCCTACCGCCTCAGCCGTCTGTTCTTTCTTCTATTCATCTCCCCCGCCTCCCCAACCTTGGTCCGCTTTAATTTCTTCAGATCCTCCATTCCCAAATCCCTGATCTTCTTGAGCCTCCGATTCAACTGTTTCTGTTTGATCTCCTTGTCCCCAGCTGTTTTCCTAATTTGATTTATCGTCCTTGCTTCCCTGATCCTCTTGTCTCACCAAATCATTCCCATCTCCTGGACCACTTCTTTCCCAAACTCCCTTCGATCCTTGACTTCCACGGACTTCCTCCTCCTTTGTCGGAGAACTTTTGACCCCTCCCGTCTTCCTCCCCTCATTTCTCTGCCCTCCATAAGTACCTTGACCCCGATTACTTTCTCTACTAAACTCATTCCTCTGAGCTCTACAATCACTCAAATCCCGGTTATCATCTCTACCCACCCCACTATTTTCAAATCCCCCCTTTTCATACCTAGGCGATCCCATCTTATTCCTATAATTGGCTTCCGTTCTCTCCAGACTCTCTTGTAGATTCGCATAATCCTCTCTCAGACCCCTAAATAAATTCTCCACATGTTTCCGCCAGGTTGCAAGAGTATCTTTCTCAGACTTCACATAACTAGCTACATTTTTCTTCTCTGCCGAAATTTCCTTTTCTAGTGCAGTGACTTTTCTTCTGAGAAGATCGATTTCGGTTTTTTGTCGAACTTCGACGGGGGTTCGGTTGAATAATGATGGCATGATCCTGATAATGGGATTTTGCCGAGTTGGAACTCGGTAAATAAAGGGTAGAGGAAGCAATTATCTTGTTCTAGAAGAAAGTCCCTAGCCTGGGTGAGAATTTTAATATGTAACCATATAGAAATGGTTGCCTTAAGACAATATATACTCCAAAGCATACGAAGTTTGTATATTCATCTATGTTGCACGGCAAGTGACCATTATCAAGGTGACTATTGATATTATTGAGGTATAAAACCAGAAGTTATTAGAATGTTCAAAGAGCAAACAATGAGTAATTGTCAAAACATTTCATCTTCGGAATGACTAATAACCAAGATTTGAAAGAGCTTAAAGCGGTAAATCATCGTTGAAATCGCAATCTTATGTCACTTCTTACCAATTTGGGATCGAGGTGAAGACAATCTACCCTCTCCCTACTTTGATATTTCAAAGTATTTTTATCACACGTCATTCGTATCCCATAAGCTACGGTGTATATTCTTACCACTCTATAACTATCCAGTCATCTAAACATCTAAACATCTAGACATCCCCATTTCTCAAACTCCCCATTCTCCCACTTTCACTCTTCCTCATTTCCTCATCGACAAATTCCCTAGCACACACGCACTCACCACATCGACTCATCTTCCCAAAACCATCCAGCTCTTTTCCATATCTTTCCACAGCAGTTCCATCATAGAACCTTCCCCACTACCCCGCAATCACTCAACACTCCAAATTTTTCCCTAGTATCCCAACAACTATTCTAGATATCACAATGTTAGCTGAATTTATCTTCTCTTCCCTTCCGGGTGATGGGCAAACTATCTCAATTATTTTTGATCACATTCGTTCTTATATAAACCTAGTACATGACATCCAAAGACTCTCCCTTCGTAAGAACATCACCACAATGATTATCGCGTAGGCTCCAAAGCATTACTCCCATCCACCTTACCCCCTCAGTTTTAACTCCGCCTCTCACCACCATGATCTACACAAATCAAAATTCACAATCACAAAAAAAACACAAAAAACTAGATAAAAAAAATGTTATTAATCTTATTTGGAGAAAAAATCTCCAGAACCCTAATTACGCCCATTGCATTCCATTCTGCCCATCTTGAAACTAAATTTCAAGCTCAAATATGATCCGGTAGTATAATGTAACCAAGTTTTCCTTTCCATCTTCACTGCAACCATTTCTCACAACCATACAATTCAGATCGCTCCAATGCTTCAAAACCCAATCCAACCCCCATTGATTCCCTCCAATCTTTTCAAATCCTAATAAGAAAATTATTCAAATCGTCGAAAGATTGACAATAAAGACTCCGTTTTATATGCATGTAGTTGAAATGTAAATCTTGCTCCATTCATTTCCTTCATAGTTGACCAGAAAGAAGTGCTTCAGTTGCTATTTTAAAGTTAGTTGATGAACAATTTAAATCAGGAATAAGTAATAACATACCAGAATTAATATAAGCTCTTCTAGCATCAAGTGAAACACCAAATCTCTTCTCCAACTCCATCTTGATACTCTTCTTCGTAATTGTCATCAAATCAGCTGTTCTAAGAATATCTCTAATCTCTTGTAAGATAGAGTCATCACTTGGCAAACCTGTCAAATTAGACATCTCCATTTCTTGTTGACCGAAATATTGACTTCCACTAAATTGACTAGCTCGGTTTCCTGGTGTCCCCATTCCCATTTCCGATGGAGCCAATGAGAGATGAGATTGATATGGATTGCCATTCTTAGAATCGATGCCATAACCATTATAATGGGACATGGCACGGGATGCTGGAACGGCGTATTCCGAGACATTAGGTTGATACTTAGTACCATATGAATATCCTGAAACTACAGATCTTCCATCATCATCTTGTTGAGTTTGTGCTTCCCAAAGTTCGGCTTGATAATCCTCCCATTTCTTGTGTGGAATAGATGCAGGATCAAAGGCTCCCTCATCAGTGATGACAATCTGTTTACCCGACTCTCCAGTAACAACACGAGTGTTACCCCAAGAGAAATCATCCATATGCCAGAAACTATACAATGGAAGACACAAGGAGTACACGGGAATGGCAAGGATATAAAGAATCATCCATCCAATCATTTCCCACTTGCGTCGTACGATGAAGATGATTGCTTGCAAACCATAAATTGCAGCAAGTAGAACGAAAGCCGTAACAGGAACAAAACTTGGCGATTCGATAACTAGGACGATGAGATAGACGAGATAAGCAACAGTGACCGGTTGAACCAAGGTAGAGACCAAATCAATCATGACGACGAAACGCATACTGAAGCAGCAGAAACCACAGAGTTCGGACATAGGCACGAGTTCCGCAAGGTTGTGTACAGTTGAATTGATCCAGCGACGACGTTGAGAAAGGAAGACAGCCCAGGAGTCAGGAGCAATAGTCCAAGCGTGAGCGGTACTGATGTACTTGGTCTTGTACTTGGCATGATGTTTCATGAGAAGTGTGGTTAAGTAACGATCTTCTCCCAAATGGAGCAAGTTCTTCATGTGAAGCGTATCGACTCGAATATTGGCGTAGTTTTCCACAACTTCGCGACTGACAAATAGAGGCTTTCCGGATTCTGCAGCTCGAACACGGTACATTGTGAAACAACCTGGCAAACAAGTAACACTACCAAACAAACTTTCGAATGCTTTAGCAAGATTGTGAGAGATGAAGTACTCATAAACTTGAATCATGGTGATGAATGAAGATTTGGAATTTGTCAATGCTGTCTCTCCACAAACACCGAGTAATTTAGTATCGTCCAAGAAAGCCGAAACCATTCGTGAGGCAGAATCCGCTGCAACGACCGTATCGGCATCGATTTGTAACATGAATTCATAAAACGTCGGATTTACACCAATGATATTGCGAATTTGATGATACATTTCAAGCTCGAGAGGGCTCATGGGCGCATTGTAGTGAACACGGTTCAAAAATCGCATCATGACCATTTGAGAATCACGCTTTCCTCTGTTCCCTGGTTTAGAAACTTCAGAAGGCTTGCCAACTTTTACAACGACCAAGAAAGGGACGATGTGACCTTGGACCTCGTAAAGACCGGAATAACATTTGCCCATGTTGTGTTGTTTCATTCCTTCTCCCAAAGACTCAAAGCTCAGGGGTTCAGGGTCAACAGTGTCTGATACTCCAAGAATGTCCAGAACGATGCGTGGAGTGGGTCTGTCGTTACCTTGACCAATAATCATACCATCACAGATAACAACCAAGAGTTTACGCTTGTCGTCATACTTCATTCTGGCAATGGAGTCGATAGCACGTCGGAGAGAATCCTCGTCTTCTGTATAGACAGGCACTTGACAGATGACAAACTTATCCAGATTTTCGGGAACGTTTTTGCCACCGAACTGAAGAGCTGCGAGAAATTTGAAGACGATGACAGAGCAAAGAATGAGCGAGATAGCCAAAATCAAGTACTCGGCAAATTGACACTTGAGCGAGTTTCTAGTATCAACATCTGCAACATAAAAGAGATTATCGAGACAAATCTTCATTCTAGACCGCATCTCATCACTAATGGCAAGAGCATTCCAGTATTTCGTGACATCCTGTCCAGATTTTTGTTGAAACAAGTCCACGACCAAGGGTGAGATGAAGTCAACACTAACATCCGAAGATGCAGTTTCGCCCTCAGGGACAATGATTTTACGGCCTCCAGAAACATACTTGGTAAGGTCATAGACTTTACCATTGATGATGCCGATCGAGTCCAATTTCGTTGCAAGTGTTTTGACATATGACGCGGTATAACCAACATGACCCTTATAATAACCGGATTCTTTAAGCATGATCATTTGCTCTATGAACCAATCGGGGCGGGAATCGTTCTTGAAGGCACGGAAGTCATGATATGCAGCATTAGCATCTGTGCTGCTGACTGTAGAGGCGGAACCAGTGACATTAGAAGAAGTATAATCAAGTTGCACTGAAGGATCGATCGAGCCTGTGGTTCCTTGACAGAGAGCCGAGACTTGAACCGGAAATAGGCCAGTAGCATCAAGACCAGCGTACTTCAATAGACTCTTTTGGGGTATAATCGATGGGTAATGGCGAGTTGAAAAACTTGTAAGGTCAAAAATCGTTCCTCTAATGGCAATATAGGCATCGGCGCTTTTGCCATCGTACGACGTCAACTCAGCCGCGCTAAAAACGTGTTGAGTTGGACAAATCAATTTTGGAAAAATCACGACGAAGAAAGCGGAGAAGAGACAAGCCCACCAAATCATCATGTTGATCGCAAGCTTTTCTCTCCAGGCTAATCGAACGTCTTTTCGAGGCATGCGACCGATCCATCGTATCAAGAAATCAGGAATGAGCCAAGTCATCATGTACACGATTGCGACCCATCTCTTACGACTCGGGCTGACTCTGACTTCCTCTACCTCAACCATGGTCTTTTCATTTCCCTTCTCAGCCAATTGTTCTTTGGTATCCAAATTACGGAACATATCACCTTGACCAAGAGCTGAAGCACCAGCATCAGAGCGTGCATCGTCTTGGCTACCAAAGTAACCAGATTTCTTGTCTCCATAAAACGCTCCAGGAGATGGTGTGAGTAGAGCTGCCCCAGGACCCAAAAGACGTTCTTTTGAGGCTCCATGGTTTTCACCACCTGGTGTGAGTCTGGGCTCACCACCATCATCAGATGGTAATGGGTAGCGCCCTGCGAGGAAACCACGTTCATTGAGTTTCGCAATTTCCGCCCAACACCTCTCACTGAGGAATATTCCAGTGCTTCCAACTCTAGCCTCATTCGATGGCCATCTCTTCTCTTCAATGACATTTTCAGCCTTTTCTCGCTCACTTCCAACTAAGATTGTTTCGGTGTCTGCAAGTCCGAGGAACTCTCCGAAAGGAATGAAGATGCTAAAATCAGCATTTCGTAACCGTTGACTGATTTCAGCAATACCGAAAGTTTGAAGTTGCATCCGTACACATTTGCTATCGAATTGATTTGCTATGCG